GCAATAATTAAAAAATTTTGCAATTTCTACAACAACAAAGTTAGTGACACACGCACATTGTTGTTGTGAAACATAATTCATTCATTTCCCGTTATTTCTCACACACATTCACAACAATCTATAGTTGCCTCATCAAATGCGTCACACACTCCAACCCTTTTGACAAATCATCCACCCGATTTTGTGTGTTTGTGTTATTGCGAACTGGGAACATGTGTTTGTAGAATTGTACCAATGCAAAAGCCCTCTTCTCTTGTCTCTCGAGTGTTCTCGTCCATATTATTTTCCGTCGAGTTCGCTCGTCATTCCGCCTGCAGTTGTCGCCATCATTTGTCTTGGAAAATTGCAATCTGCATAATGTGGCACTCGTTGCAAGTTCTATCGCGTCTACAACTCTCCATATTCAGATGAAATAAATTTTACTGCAGGCTGCGCAGACTTTGACTTTATCAAGAGATGAGGTAGTAAAAGTATGTCAAGTGAATTCATTGCAGTTCTACTTGGCAAGTTTAATGCTATTCAATTTCAATTAATTTTCATTCAAATGAAGTAAACTAATGAAAAAAAAATATTGTAACTTACTTGTTTTATAATTCTTAAATATTAATTTAGTTTAATTAAATGTGGAAAAGTAAGCAATAGAGTGCAAATGACCATCTCTAACTTTTAGGTCGATAAACTGATTGAATATTTTTTATTTCAATAATCCGGACTTCAGAGAAGTATAATTATAATCAGGCTTGTCCTAACTGAAAACTGAAAGATTTGGAGTAAATTTAATTTTTAATTAGCTAAATAAATAATGATAAGCAAATTATGATTTGAAATATTTAAAAGAATAAAATTCTTTTTATTTCTTAAATTTCTAATTTGCTAAAACTGTTCTCGTCAATAAATTAAATAAAAACAATGCTTATAATTTACAGTGTACATTAACAGAGTTTTGACGCTTTACCGGGTATTTTAATGATAAATTGACGACTATAGCTGCTTTTCAGAAAAATTATTGAAATTATTGGTCAAACTCTATGACGAAACTAATATTTCCTTAAATATCCAGGAATTGGATCAAGTACCTAACCGAATAATATTTGCAAAAATGGAGAAAACTAAGTATATACTTTAAATTTTAAGTGCTTTACATTTTTAATGTAATTTTAATTTTATATTATTGAGATTTCAAAAAGACTTGACCTTATTCTTTCTTATACTTGCTGACAAATGCAATAAATCAGTTTCAGTCGTATTAAATTTGCCATTATTCGTTTGGTTTAGGATTTAACTAAATTAAAAAAGATAAAAATACCCAATTATGTAAGTTTCCCATGCTTGATAATTTTATATTTGGGAATATCAATCAATCAATGTCATTAAAACCAATTAAAACGGACTTATTTTTCAATCTCTTCTCAAAAGGTCAATTTTGCACGGAAAGCCGAACGGAAATATCTTTTTTTTTTATACTCTTGAGAAAATCTCCCATTATTTGTGAGAGACGATCCTGTCTATAACTTGAATAGGTCCCCGTGGTGTCAGGTTTCTCGATCGACTTAACATATTGCCAGGCCCTTATGCAAATAGACGAAGCGTCCAAATCGAGTGTCCCTCGAGCCGGCGCTCGTCATAACAAAAACATATCTGGCGCAACAAAGTGGGCCGAGCGAAAAACATTTGCAGCACGGCCGGTGCTCACATCACATTAATATATAATTCGGCTTGGCCGGAATGACGCAGGTGCTGCTGCAAAAACACCAATGTAAGAGGTTCGATCCCGAGTTTTATCACGTTGGCGGGTTTACGTATGTGCAGAGTCGGTTTTGCGACACCCAAACTGGACAGACCAAATTGGATTAGGCGGCCAAACAAATCGCGGGCGTGGGTGCGGCGCGTCAACCCCCCTGTGCGATGAGATCGATATTGCACAATTAGGTATGGCGCAAACAGCAGCGCGCGTGTTTTATTTCGCTTGCAAATTACCCTTTGAACTTTTGCAACGCACCATATATACGCGGTCTCTGCGAAACAGAAGCGAAAAAAAGCTGTTAACGACCTGCTGGGAAAATATGGAGAAAAAAGTAAAGAGAGACACACTAGCTCGGCTTGGGTATGAAAAGTGCTATTTTTAACTTTTTTTTCATCATAATATTGATTTTTTTGCTTCTTTCAATCAATAAAGACTTTAAACATTCATAGACTGGTGAAAGTTATCTCTTATTTTTTCTAAAAACGTGACATTTTAGTTGATCAAAAGTAAAAAATCTCATTTAGCGCTTAAATTTTTTTAATGACAATCAACTGTTTTAAGTTTCTAATTAAATTTTTAGTAACTGTTATCATATGAATATTAGAAAGAAAGAAAAACGCTGGTTTTCTAGAATCTTAATTGCATTTTTCCATGCGTCTTGTTTCATCGATCGTTTTTCTTTTTGCTGAAAGCAAATGAGAAACTCCTTTTTCTCCAAAGGATTGAATTATTTACGTGTTTGTTGAAGCTTTCAACTTTCCCGTGCAGAAAAACCTTTACAAAGCAAATTATATGCAGAGCTTTTAGCGAGGAATTTCGCATCAAAAGTCTCGCGACCCTTTCCAAGCCGGCGGCTTTTCCTGGAAATTTTACGTCAAAAGTCAATTTGTACCTGTCGCAAAATATTATTTTGTGTGAGGCAGTTTCTGTTCCGGATGGAAATCATGGCAACGGAGCGAATTCACCGCAGGCGTGTCCCCATTAATTTCAAGCCGACTTAAAATTTAATGAGAATTCGCTTTTTATATCAATTTTTAAACATCCTTTTAACATGATGTTTTTCATCCACTGAAAATTTAATAAACTCGTTATCAATTGAAAGACAATAAACCCGAAAACAGTTCAAGAGGAATAATAAATCATGTTTTCATAGCGAGCAGATGATTTGAAGTGAGACTAAAATAGACAAAAACGGGGAATCAAACAAATTGGATGTCTGAGAGATCTACATTGTATTTTCTCTAAAGTTGATACGTGATAACTTGATAAGCTGTCTCTGTCGAACATGCCCTTATTTTAAGGCAGCGAGATTCGCAAATAATAAGAGCGTGGAGAGGATGTTTCTTTGATGCTGCTACTTATCAACGCTCGACTTACGACATTCCCTTTGAAAAGCGACATTTCAATGGAAATAATGGAATCCTTGCTCCGCGTAGCGATTCATTCTGGTAAACTAATTAGGCGCGCTTGCCGGGTACAGAGAGCTCAAATGTCAGTCTCTGCAGATGAACTTGTAAACATTCTGCTGATAAAAAAAAAAGAAATAAAAACAAACGTACGACTTGTAGAGTGGAGGGATGCCATTTTTAGGGCATCAAAATGATTTGTCAGCAGTCTTATGAGTCTTACCAAAGGCGACAGACTGGTCTGCATGTTCACAGTCAGTTCCAAAAATTCTCAATAAAAATGGCCAGATGAATTTTCAGACCGGAAATAATAATTTATTTGTTATTGCGATGTGTAGTGAGGAGAAGGAGGAGATTGATGAAAAGAGTGAGATTTAAAATTGAGGGTATTGCCAGGGCTAGTTGAAAAGAAAACAATTATCTAAGTCTTTTTACTTGACCAATTTAAAAAAAAAAATCAATATATAATTGCAAATGTAAAATAAATTAAACGATATTTTAAATGTTTATTTTCTAATCCTACATTTTCAAAGATTTTCAATTAAACCTTAATTATAAAATGCCGACTTTTTCTTCGCTACCTTGCACTCTTTGTTGAGATTATTGTATTTTATTTTGGGAAATTTAGCTGGAAAATTTGGCAAGAATATTCATTTGTAGCTTAAAATATTAACTTTCAGAAAAACTTTTAAGAAAATTGAGTTTCTTGATTCAAAATCATACAATAAAAGAGTACACAAATCAATAATAAAAAAAATTAGTAGAAAAAAAATAATTGCATGTTTTATTTATTTAAAAAAGTAAAATTTAATGTTAAAATAATCAAATTGATCTATATATTAAGAAAACTGTTGATTTTATCTTTTTGTTTCACCATTGGAAGATACAGTCTCATCAAAAATCCCACATCCGCAAAACAAGTTCAAAAGTCAGATTGACACAAGCGAGTTGTTCAATGTTCGCGGGTGTCAAACGTTAATTGCTAAAGTACGTGCAGTCCGAAAACTTACTGATGACTTTATTATTCGTTTGATAAGGGTTCTGATCGCCCTACACGTTGCAAAAGCCTTTGCCGAGCCACAGCGCAAAGTGATCGACGGCGGCCCCTTGGCAATAAGCAAATCACGCGGCTTTTCACGTGAGCCGCTCGCTGCCGCGAACATACGCAAGGAAAGTGCCTCGAGAGAGCGATCGATCGATTTATCTTCAGCACGTTGTTACATCGTGCGCGCCTGCCACTTTCCGTGCTTCCCTCCGCGTCGAGTGGCTTAATTAACTAATTAAACTTTGATTGCCTCTTGAATAAATTTCACCCCACGCTGCTAAAAATAATCACCGTCAGCCTGCCATTTTCACGTGTACTTGCAAATTATTAACAAGCACCTTGCTCAACCTCTTGTTTGTTGATTCCCACGTAAGCCGACCTTCTAACGAGACGGATTTTTCTCGTTATCCTTTTTCCGACCTCGTTGATTGGTTTGCTTTTTTTATTGTTTTGTTCATTCCCGGCCAAATTGGTCGAACGTATAAATAAAGGCTGCATTGTTCCCGGCTGGATATAAATAAAGGCGCCTTTATCTCCGCTTTAGGTGCCCATTCAATTCAAATATATCCATCCCACGGCGATGCTTTTGTGTCGGTGTCAATCAATGATTTGCCCTTTCGAGCAGACAAAACCCACTTTTGGTTAATTGGAAAAAAACGGACTGACAGAACTTTTGCCGTCGTCCCTAAATGCCCGTCCGAATTAACACTAACAATAAGCTTTAAATAAAATGGTTTCTTTTTTTGAAATAAAAAAGTGTTGTAGCAATTTCAAAAAATGATTTTTTTCAATTTTTTGGTTCCAGAAGCAGCAAACATGGAGTGGCTGCTTGGAGGGCCGCAACTGCAAAACACGGGTTCCCAACTCGGAATGCAGGTCGGCAACACCTATCGTGTCCAGGACACTTGTCATGGTGAGTTAAATTCTAGGAGTAATTTATTTAGTGAGCCTGCAAATTTCGAAATAAATTAACCCTTAAGATTTAAAAGGATTTCTGAAGCTTTTCCGAATGGATTTTTTTTTTTTTTTAAATAATATTAATAATTTCTCTTTTTCTAAAAAGGTCAGTTTTTTCGCTTAAATTTGACTTTGTTGAATATCTTCTTCTTCTTCACTCATAAAAATGTTTTTATTTGCCAAATTGAAAAATGAAAATTCATCAAATTCCATTATTATTGATGAGATAACATTAATTTTAACCTTCTATTAATGTTTATAACAATTTTTTAAATAACATCTTTGACTGAAGTTTTAACTTTCAAGAATGAAATTGTGCAAATTAAAAATTTTTAACCTCTTTCTCGTATTGAAAAATTTATTTCTCTAATAAAAGATACAAAACTTAGCCTAGGTTCCCTTTTTAATATCAAATCAAACAATTTTAAAGATTTTTTCAGTGATAAAATGCACGTGCACATTATCTTTATTAAATGAATTTTATCTCACATGAGGTTATACCACTAGCAAGTGGCATGGTGACCTTGTTTGTGTAATCATAATTTTGTACATTATACCATGCCCAGCAATCTATAAATAAAAGATATAAATTTATTTGAATTTTAATGACGTGTTCATTCATCCGTTCCTCTTTTCGAGAGATCCGCATGGAGGTCCATGTGCACGAAAGTATTCGATAAGATAATAAATTCTGCAGTCAAAACACATCTCACTCGATAATTGCCTGTCGAGCGACAAACATGCGAGTGTTATCGACATGAAAAATTTTGTTATCAATGCAGAGACGCTGGTGGAGCTGCTGGCCAAGCTTTCGTCCGAGGACAGAACTTTGAGGACCTTCCGGCGAGCCTTGGGCTTTTCGCAGATCATCCAGAAGGACTTGGTGCCGTTGTTGATCCACGAGAAGAACGACGTCAAAATAATAGACGCGTGCATCCGTTTGCTGGTCAATCTGACCATTCCCGTTGAATGTCTTTTGCCGATGGAAATCATGGCGCGGACCGACGCCGGTCGCCACACCATCTACGAGCTCAACAACCTGCTGTTTTCGGCCAAGGACGCGTTCGTTGAACCCAGGTCAACCAAGAGCATCCTTGACTTCATGAGAAAAATCATCGACCAAGTAAGTAACACTGAAATAATATTTACAAGAAAAAAATTTAATAAATATAACATTAATTAGTCTTAATTTTTGCCTACAAAAATTATTATTTTGGAATTTTTATTCTACTTTTTTTCTATTTGATTTAAACTCTTTTGATGAAAACATTTCAAGATTCTTGTTGATTAAGCAATAATTAATTTTATAAAATATGAGAATTTCTAAAATAAATTCATAGTTTGGTCCTATTATAATTAAATATGTATAAGTCATAATTTAAAAAAAATATTTCTTCATAATTAAATAAATATCAATACAAATATTATTTCTGAAAAATAAATTCAATTAAAACGTACATTATAAAAAGCATTTCTCTGAAAATTTCTAGTAAAATAATCTTTAATAAAAAATTACGAGCTTTTTTTTCCATCTACAAATGTAATGAAATTACAATAATTTTGCCCTTTTCTTTAATAAGGATGAAAAGTTAAGCTTGGAACAGTGCGACGGAATCAACAACTGTTTGCTTCTGGTTCGCAACATCCTCCACATCCCTGAACAGTGGCCCGTCTGCGCCCCCACAAACACGCCATGCAGCAAACAGAACATGATTCTCTGGAATCTGTTTGCGCAAGGCATCGATAAAGTCCTCATCTACCTGATGACCTGCCCGCAGAGAGTGAGTTTTAATAATTTTTTAAGGGAAAATTAATAAGGAAAAATCATTAAATTTTGTTAAAAGGGCATTTGGAGTATTACGATGGTGCAGCTGATTGCCCTGACCTACAAGGACCAACACGTGGGCACGCTGCAAAAGCTGCTGAATCTCTGGTTCGAGGCGTCGCTCAGCGAGAGCTCCGAAGACAACGAGAGCAACACTTCGCCGCCGGTGAGTCTCTCTCAATTTACATAAATACGGCTCTGATATTTCCAAGTTTGGAAACTTTGCACTCGAAACTCCTCGGGCGCCTGTTATGAATATTTTGCAACCTGCGAAGCGTGCGTGCTAAACTGGTTGCATATAATTTATACGCTTTGTTGGAACATTTCCAGCAGCTTAATCTCAAAGTGGAAAGTTTGAAACCCTGATTTAAATAACTTAAATTTTACATTTGCTGCAAAATCCATGTTTTTACATAATATATTTTTAAATACGATACTTAGCAAAGAGAAATTTGTAATTTAATTTTACTACATTGGAATTTAAAAAAAAAAAATCAACTGAACGTTACAAATTAATTTCAACTTTCAATTTTTGTACTTTTAAATTGAATTAAATTGAGATCAAAAATTTTATCGGCCCTTCCCAGGATCAAGGCTCAGGTGACTCTTCCCCAATGCTTACGTCGGATCCTACGTCAGACTCATCAGATAATAGTTCCGCAAGTACGAACAAAAGCAACAACATGGATACTGGTTGCAACAACAAGCAGGTGCGTGAATTACGTCCGAGCATGTGCACATCACTCATTCTCGATCAACTTATGCATTGAATTAATTTTCTGTCCCTCAATCGCATTAGCATTCACAACGGATGCACACCGACCACATCAAAAACCCGAACAAAAGTAAGTTGCTTGTTTCTTTTTATCCTCATTTAAAAAATCACTAAAATCAAAAGAAAAAGTAAATTTGAAAAGTAAATTTTTCTTATGATCAATAAAAAAATGAAAACTACCTCTAAATTAAATTTTAAATTTCCACTTCCTCAATCTACATGCTTATATTTTTAACCACTGTGATATTAAATTATATAAAAAAATCTCTGTGCGTCGAGTTGCGCAATTGACCACCGAGTTGAGTGCACATTGCGAATACCGTGAGAGTGTTTTTAATTAAATTGGCATCACCTGCACTCTAGAACCCTAGGGGGAAAAAATGTCACTGCGCAGAGATGACACGGAATAAACTCCATGTCAATGGCATTCTGTATATACAATAAAATGAAATATTTTTTCCATCATAGTTGCCGCAGAAATTGCACGCAAAGCTCAACCCGCAGGTGCTGCAGGTTCAGGCACGAGCAGGGGCAAAGGTGGTGGTGGAAAAACCCAGCACAAAAAGGAAAGACAGCAATCTGGTGAGCCCGAAAACCAAAAGCAACAGAACCAGAGCCAAAACTCAGAGGTATATTTCAACAAATTTATTTTTTGAATGCAATCGTTTAAAAAAAAAAAAATTATTTATTCCACTCATTATCAGTTTCGGTGGAAAATTTTACTTAAATTAAAATTTTGCTAAGCAGCAAGCCTTGAGCGTTGCCAGCCCAAGCGGTAGCAGCGGAATCGGTGGCAGCAGAACGACCTCCTCTGTCTCGACGGCCACCCCCCAACCGTCCCCCGGGTCAAGTAATTCCAATTCGAGTGGTCGACCACCCTCGCCAGTACCGTCTACGTCTTCCTCCGGAGCGTCTACTGCATCTATGCAACCAGCCACACCAAACGCCACACAGAATAAACCAGGAGGACCAGGTATGAATTTTCTTTTAAATTAAAAAAATTAACTATTGTTAAAAAACATATAAATATTTAAATCGTGTAATTCATTTGCATTACAATTCTTGATTTTCTTTTCTATAAATAAGAAGACGCTCAGTTTTTGCGAGTTTTTTTATACCTTTCTCTCTTGGAATCGAATTTCGCTCGCCCGAACAAATAAATGAAAGAAAACCGATATCAGATGGCAACTCGCATTCAATTTCCCCTAAAATGTTTTATCAAAGGAGTGACCAGCAACCCGCACGTAAAAAGAAGCTGCATGTCGTCCTCCGAGCTGTCAGACTACGGCTACGGCACCCAAGTTGAGAACCAGGAATCCGTTTCAACATCGAGCAACGAAGACGATCTGCCGCAAAAGTAAGCCTTTCATTATTTCGCGTCGATCGGCCCGTATCTGATTGACCCGTTCTTTAGCAGGGGAATGAAGCCGGTGCACCAAAAGCCGCACAATCCCAACAAGATCAGACAACACAAGCCGCCCGCGTCGCAGACCAACTGCGATAAAAAGGAATGGAGACGGAAAAAACTGGTCAAACGGTCAAGGACCAATATGTAAATTGTTAAAAAATTTCAAATTTGTTCTGTAACTTATTATTTTATTCTTTTTAATCTAGACTGAATGTCAAAGCCCTGATGCAGCACACGCCTACGGACGAAGACATTTCGCACCTTTTGAAGGAGTTCACGGTTGATTTCCTCCTGAAGGGCTACGGCCCTTTAGTCCAAGAGCTTCACCTGCAGCTGCTGTCCGAGCTGGGGATGCCTGTTGACACTTCGCACTTCTTCTGGCTGGTCACCTACTTCCTCAAGTTCGCGTCGCAACTCGAGCTTGAGCTTGAGAACATCGGGTATGGTTTTTGGAACAATCATAGCCGTTCCAAGGCTGAATGATGAGAATTTCAGGCCTGTTCTATCCTCCCGAGTTGTTTCGTATCTCACCTTTGAGGGTGTCAACGTCTGTGAGCAGCTGCAGTTGGCGCTGATGCAACAGGAAATGGATCTCAAACCATGCCTAAGACGACTTCATTTGGTAGGAATTCGTCACAATTTTTTTTTCAGACAATCACGAAAGATTCTCTAGGGCCTTTCAAATGATTGAATTATTGCAATTTTAACATTTCATATTTCTTCAGGTTGTCACTGCAGTCAGAGAATTCATTCAAGCAGTGGACACGTACAGAAAGTCTAATAACCTCAGCCAAGAAGACAAAGATTTCTTGACACAGTTGCAAAGTACGCTAATTTCTCCAAAAATCCTGATCTCATGCATTAATTGTGTTTTAATTTGTCAATCAGGTGAGATCTGCGCCATGGGAGACCTGCGATGTCTGTTCGTTTTATTGCTCAGACAGTACAATCCCAACATGCAAAGCAAACAATACCTTCAGGACCTGATTGCAACAAATCACATCCTCCTCCTCTTCCTTGAAAACAGTGGTTCGCCATCAACAAGCTCAACCTTCAACATGACTGAGCACATCAAACAGTATTCTAGAAAAACCTACAAAAAATTTGATATATCTAAAATAAAATTTTGCACAGCTTTTCAACGCCTGAAATGATGCTCCAGTACGGAAGACTGCTTGAAAGTTTTCGAGAAAACGGGAAATTCGTGAACGACTGTGTTTTCACAATGATGCACCACATTTCTGGCGACATGAATCAGGTCGGATCTCTCTTCCAACCTGGCATCCTGAAGACATTCTCCCTCATCTGGGAGGAGGACTTTGAAGTTTGCGATGTAAGTTTTTTAGATACATAATTTTTTTTTAAGATTTTTATAAAAATTATTCCAATTAGGACTGGTCCGACTTGATTGAGTACGTGATTCACAAATTCGTGAACACGCCTCGCCGAGGACACCCCATGTTGCCTTTGAGCAGTGTTGACGCCGAGTTAAAAGTCGAGGAAGTGCCAACTGCACGACCACAACCCCCAACGCTTGAACAAAATTTGTGCAGGTAAAAAATTAAATTAATAAAAGCAGTCAATTTTTCAGACACTTATCAAAGTTATCAATTTCAAAATCACAAATATTTCCTGTAAATCAGTTTTTCAACATGAATAATTTTTTCACACCAAAACGAATAATTTGATAAAAGCTCCCTGGTGATGGAGTTGCAAGTTAATAATGCTATTTTTGCTAAAGATGGACCAAGGAGGAGTGTGATATCCTTTACTGGTACTACGTGCAAAGTGCTCAGAGCACCGACCCAATTGATAACATTCGCAACATGTACGTCGAGAATGGTTCCTCGAGCAAAACCCGAGTCGCGGTAAGTCGTAAACGAAAGACGGATTGCGCGAGGCGTGCACTCAGGGCAGTCACCAGCTTTATGTACTTTACGCGCCGTGCTTTTTGGCAGTCGGCACGGAAAAGCAGGATTCGCGAGAATCATGAGAGATCGGATTGTGAGGAGCTTTTTATTTCGCGCTCTCTTTTACGACGAGAGACTTTCTCGTAAATCTCTAGAAATGTGCACACACTGCGATTTCTGTCCTTTTGCACTAAAGTCATAAACTCCAACCCTCCGAATTCAAAATTGGCTCCGTCTCTCAATATTTATAGATGAAAAATCCAAAAGCTGGTCACTCTCGTCTCTACCCAAACCTAAAAATAATGGCTAAAATAAATCTTGGTTGCAGATTATCGAACAACTTTACACCCAAGACATTATTCCGCACGCGCAGTACCTTGAACTTCTGAAGCAGGAAGCAGTCGTAAGCTTTAAAGTATATATCTGCGTCAACTCACTGTTTATACAATTCATTCAATCTAACTTTGAGAGAAGAAATATGAATGCATTTACTTGTCGCATAAATAAATCTCTAATCTGTCGGTTCTATTTATATATAATTCAAACAGATTTATCTTTGGCTACAATCAAAATGCAAAAAAATCCAATTTTTTCTTTTTTTCTTGGAAAAAATAATGTAGCAGAGAGCAATCGCGCGCGGGAAAATCGCTTAACAAAATCTTTTGCAGGGTCTGCAAGGAACGGTGGTCACTGAGAGCATGGAGGTGGTCAACAGTTCCGGCACGAGCACACCTACCATTCTTCAAGCCAGCTCGAGCAACCTCGATTCACAGGAAAAACAACAGCAACAGTCGTCTGACGATATTGGCAGCATTATTGGTGAGTATTTTTAAATTTTATAGCCAGAAGTTTTATTATTATAAATGATTTTATTATAAATATTTTAAAAGAGCAAAATTTTGATTATTTTGAATGAATTTAACAACATCTTGAACAGCTTGACATTTTACAAATTAAAATACCAAGGAAAATAGAATAATTAAGGCGAACTTCAAAGTTTAATTTGTTTTTCTTAAAGAAGGAAAATAGTTAATAATCCCATATAATATAACAAAAAACGTTATTAATTCTTACAAAGAATTTTAATAGAAAAAATAATTTTTAAAATCATTAAAACTTCGCCTTGACTAGGCCAATCCCATCGTTATATTTACTTTTTGACTGGCATAAAGTCGTTTAAAGTTTACTCCGCAGTCATTATCACCATCATTTCTTGTTCAGTTAAAAGTAAATCAGCAGAATAAAAAGATAAATGTTTTTTGCCTGTAAAAATTTATAATATTGCTTTCGTTAATGAAAAAGTTGGAAGTTTTGAATAAAAGCTTAGAAAAGAGGCTTGGAAGTTGAAAAGGAAATTAAACAGAGATCTTACACAGGCATAATTACTCCAGTAAGTGCGCTGATGAATATACAAAGTGAGAGCACGTTAGCATTGTGAAACTTTAAAGCGACGCCGAAAGAAGCCGCAACCGCCGAGGATTCTCTTTATAAATGCAAAACCGTCGTCTGACGTTTATAAAAGATGCAAAATCCACTCAAACTTTCCTCTGCCTCACTCGCAGATAGCTTTAATTTGCATTTGCTGTGCACGCGAGATAATAGACGAGATCCTTTTGCGAGGAAACAATTACCGGAGAGGATGAATTAAAACAGTATCAAGTGTCTTCTTCCCTCGGAGCAGAATTAGACATGCCCATAAACTGGAGCTTCTTTTCATTAGACGTACAAAACACAAAACAACCGCACAAGAGCAATTCGCTTGATGTTTCGCCTCTGCGGTGGGATAATGGCTGATGCAAGCGGCCGCACAACATGTGCTGCAAATTGCATAGCCATTTGTATGTATCGTCCTCGGTGCGGACGAAGGAGAGGCGAATTTAATCAGCCTGAACTGTTTGTCTCCCCCGTGTAATTTACAACAGTTCGGAAAGTTTGCATAGTGGGATAACGGGGGATGCACCAAAGTTTATGTTGCTACGAGGGACATTAATTAAGTAAGGTAACTTTCTGGAATTAAATATAAAAGTTATGCAAAAACTGTTTTACTTGTTGATTCCGTGAGTTAGTTTAAATTTAAGAACGCATTAGAAATAAATAAGTTATTTTATTTACTTTTGAACGTTTCTATTTCATAATATTAATAATTGATATTTAATTATAAATTTGTTGGTGTTTAAAGCTCTTCTTATCGCCGAGAACCACGCTTCGCAGATGTCGTGGCTGCAGTCGGCGCTGCTGGAGACGTGCTACGTCAAGTTGCACTACAGGACCCTGCAGGCGGCTCAAAACAACTTGAGCATGGAGCCCGTCCCCTTCCACTATACGCGTAATTTAATTACTTTTTTGCCCCAACTCCTGGCTATACCGACCGAAAACTCGCCGCCTTTGACTAACATCGTTTTAAGCCGCAAAATTTCGCAGCTTGTAAATTTTCATCTCCCCCGAATTAATCGAGCGGACCGCGTTTATTTATTCGAATGTATAAATTAATCAGTGGGCGGAATGCGCGTTAATTTTGCAGTGATGCGTCAGAGTGTGCCGCTGGTGCCGTGGAACCTGGAGCAGAGCACCATGTTGGCGTACCCGCCTTTTGTGCTTCTGCTGCACAAACTTGGCCTCCAACTGCCAGGTGACGTGGGCAAGGTGTTTCCCAGGATTCCGCACTTCTGGACCGCCGAGGTTCTGTACGCGACGGCGCTTAAACTTGGCCCCATCAACTCCAGTGAGCTAAACTTAAACTGATCCTCTCATTATTATCCCATTTTAATAAATTGGTAATTATTATAATATTGAATTGTTTCCATTCTAAATAATATTTGTAGAGATGAATATTACATATTATATTGGCATTGAAATTAATTCCAAAAAGGAAAAGTTTTTCAATTTATTCTTCAATTTTTAAGCTATTATGATCCGTTCGTTGAGCAGAGTTTATTTTTTATTATTATCTACATCAATGATTTATAATACTAACTTTGAATTGTACAAAAGTTGTAATATAAAGAATGCTGTGTAAATATGACAAAATATAAACATAAAAAATAAATTATACTTTATACAATAATAAAATTAAAAATTATATTAAAAATTAAAAAAATATATTATGGTTATTTTAACAATTCTCTATTTATTATAATTAGTTTTAAATTATTTTTTTCAAGTTGTTAAATAAGAACTAAGTATAAAAATTGCTACAAGGTAACTAGTAACAATTTTAAATAAACTATGGTTTAAATATTGAAAATATTTACTTCAAAAAAATATGCATACAGAAAATAATGGAAATTTCTGTTCTTTATCTCATCAGATTTTCTGAAGTTTGATCCTCAAGAGTTGAGTTCAAGTTCGCGAAGTGGATTGCAAGTAATGCCGATGGTCGAGGTTGAGGAGACCAGCCTGGCCGGACCGTCCATGAGCAGCGACGTCCAGCAAGAAGTGCCGGCCGCCCTGTCAGTCCAGTTCGCGCCAATGTAAACCAACCTTCCATGCTTTTAATGCGCTATTTGCATATTAGCTTTCGATGTCTGCACTCACAGTCCCAGATAGTGATAAAAACAGGAGAAATCAAATTCAGTTGATTTTTAACACAAAATAATCAATTTTTTCGCCTAAAAACAATAGTTTTGGGATGTTGAGCTTTATTTTGACGAATATATATTTTTATACAAAAAATTTTATTTAAAAACAAAAAAATACACTCCACGGATTTTGACTTTTTCATCAAAATCCGGTCGTAACTGAATCTGATGATGGAGAATGTAAACTGAAAGTCATGTCGTTTGGCAGGCCGGAGGGCAACACTAATTGGATGCAACTCGTTACCAAGGCAAAGAGGTCGAGTAGGTGAGTTTGCATTCCACCCCCAGAGCCCGCGAACCCCATCCGCACCCGAGTACGTCTTCTTGTCAGCTAAACGAGCGAGCGCCGCCTCCACTCGTCTAATCCGTTTTTGCTCTCGCAACCTCTCCTCGGCCAGCGCGAATTTTTTTGCACTGCTTTTTCGTTCAACTCGCAGAATTAATGGAGTTCGCTCCTGAATGTACATACGCAAATTTTAAGGCAAAAACTTGAAACTTTGAGGTGCAATTTCGCGCAGCTGATGAGAGGGAAAATAATGTAGTAAATTGCGTGGTGCCGCGAGCAGCAAAAACTAACTCTGTGTCGCTTTAAGTGTGTCTCGCAATCGGAATAAAAGAAAGAATGAAGAAACTTACTTACTATTATATACTTTCATGTTTGTTTATATATTTCATGGTGGTGTGTTTGTCAGTCTGAACGGCAAGAGACGGAAATAAGGCTGAGGAAAGTTGGCGGTGATTTTTTTCCAACCTCTCGTGTCTGTAGCAAAATGAGTAGAAAGAGGGAGAGAGACTCGGCAGGCAGAGGGAGCGGGGCAAATATATAATGACTCGAACCCAGGGTTTTCAAAAGTTTGTTTGCTTTGCTTGCATTTTTGAGTGGTTTACAAACTCATTCGAAAAAGGCTTTACGGGCTCAGCCGCATTGAACTTTTTTACTTCAAATATATATATATACATATTTCGCAGAATAATACCGTGAATAAAAATATTGTACTAATTGATTGTTTTATTTTTCTTTGTTCAAAATTCATTTTCTCTTTTTTTATCACTTGGAATTTCTGGTGGAACACAATGTAAGTTAAATAATTCATCACAAAAGAATCAATAGCTAAAGACTTCAACAAAATCTAAAATATTCCAAAGCCCTGAGGACTGACCGGCCAGAAACAGCTTTTTACACCAGCCGTGACCTTCAAATTATCAGTCCAGAAATATTAAATCCTGGGGATATTTCTTAATTTTCTTTGCTAATTAATAAAGTAAAGTCAATTAAATGTAGTCAACCCGGCACTGGGACAAAATAATTATTATATTAAAATGATTTATTGATCATTTTTGATTCATCTTCTCTAGTCATAAATTTGAGAATGAAATTAGTTTTTATTTTGTTCAACTGAACTTTGAACTTCAATTAATTTCCTTAAATTTTGATCACATTTGCCACTGAAAACGCTCAAAAAAGCAACCAATTCTCGAATTTCTTGGCAAATACAGACATTTCATTTTGTTTGAATTCTTTAATTTTACAATTCTTTTCTACTCCCAAGGGATTTGTGTTCAGGTTGAGTTACACGTTTTACGTTCATATTTAATATCCAAAATCGGTTGAGTGTTTCCCTAACTCTTCGATGATTTGCCTAATGCAACCAGCAGAACAAAAAATTTAAAATTCTAGCAGCTCTGGGAAATATTGAATATTAAACCTATTTTGGATATAAAAAAAAGGAATGAAAATGTTAACTTGGCCTGAATGCAGACTTTTCCATGAATATAAAATATTTTTTTAAATTTTAAATTTATATAGAAACAAGATTGAAATTTATTTTCCGTGTTGCGTGGATTCGGTATTATCTAATTTTAAAAAAAAAAAATCAAATTACATTTTTATTAACAAGAAAATCCCCAATTCACCAAAACAAATTATTAATCAGAAGATTCCACAATGATATTACAAAAATTCACTTATTATTTTTAAATTTATTTATTTATTTAATAAAAATTAGGTGATATTGCACTTTTTGCTCTAAAAGGGCTTTTTATAGTAAGTGCAGTTCTTTAATCTAAAATAGAGATGAGCTTAATTTTTTCATATATTTTATTGATTTAATTTATTCTCTTTTCAGTATGTACATTGAAATAATTATTTATTTAGACCAGATATAATTTTTTTTAAATCGTACAGAATTTTTGCGAATTTTTGAGGTCTTTTTTGGTAATTTTGCAGATAAAAAGTTCTGATTTATACTTTTTCCGAGAGTGAAAATTTGCATGATTTGCTTGGGGCAGCGGTAGCAGATCGTTATTTTACCCCTGCTTAGGTACATATTCACGCACACACAGCGCCCAGCACGCAAATTTAGCGCCGCCGGCATCATTTCATAATTCGCGTCAAAGCCATAACGAAAAACCTGGCCGAGTTTCTCTCTAGTAGTGAATAGGAGTAGAGCAGTGGTTGTTTATTTATTTTGTTTGTGTTTGTGAATATATTTGGTACACGCGGTTGGTCTGAAAGTTTGCCAGTCCGAACTGACTGCTGGATGTTCAAATTGTGCCCTCAGGGAGCAATCGCCATGCGGGGACCTGGACTCGACCCTCAGCAAAATGTCCATCTCGGACGACGACACCTGCACGTCCGCCAACGAAGAAAAAGCTCGGTCGCTTTCACCGCCAGGGCCGCTGCCTCTCCACACCCTCAACCCCCAGACCAGCACCATTTGAGAAAAAGAAAAAAATCCTATACACATCTCCAAACGTCAAAATGTGCGGGCACATTCGACATATATTTTTATTTAAACTATTTTAATCTTGCCAATAAATGCCAATTTTCATATATACACTCTCAGTTTTTGCGAAACCATCACAGGTTGATTGATTGATTTGCAAGAAATCGTAACTATATATTTATCTCGTTTATAATGGTTTGATGTTGTTTCAGTAATTTTGAATAGTTTAATGAAGTTGATTTTAGTATTTGATAGTTTTAATAATATGTCGAAGTGTGCGAATTGAATTTTTTAATAAAAATTTAAATCGATACATCTTTTTTTTAATTTTTGACGAGATGTCAATTTTGCCGTTTGTGCTCTTGAAATTATACAGAAAGAAGAATATTTTGATATGCACTTAGATTATATAATATCAAATATTATAATGATTTTATTGTATACGAAATACATTATGATGGAATACCTATCCACAAAAATAGCAAAAGTTCTGGAATCATAAATGTATTTTCAATTCCAGGCGTGTAAAAACGAATACCTCAAGAGAATCGTGCGATGGATATGAATTCAAAATGTCAAGAGAATTAGGATAGAACGTGTGTTTGATGTATTATGAGACTACACTGTCGCTTTTTCTAGCAGTTTTATGCAAAAAAAAAAGGACAAACCGAGAAAAAATTTTGTTTGCAGTAGATTTTTTTTCTCTATGTAAGCAGTTGCAAATGAATAGAAATATGAGATTGAATCAAGAAAATGCAAGAAAACTAAATTTCGCTCCAAGTATTTTTACTTGTAATAATTGTAATTTTGCATTGAATTGGTAAAAAATAAAGTTACTAATGATGGAAATTGAAATTAATATGCAAATTTTATTGAAAACCAATCAGATCAGTAATACTTTAAAATGAAGACATTTTTCAAGCTAGAGCTCAGATGAAATTTATCACAAAAATTGCACAAAGCCTACTTGTATTATTTAATTTTTTTCCCAAATAATTGAATACACGGATAAAATTTAAAAACAAAATTAAAATTAAGTACTTCTCCTTTTTTTATAATTTAAATGAATACTCAATTAATTCAAATGGAGGCAAAATGAATTATGGAAATTTCGTGTAAGCCCTTATCAAAAATTAAATTGGCCCAACCTGACAGATTCAATCTGGCAAAAATTCACGTTCGTGCTGAGAGAAGATGAATTGAACCATCATGTCGTTGAAATCTTTTTCAATTTGCACGGCGGCTTTTCATACCGTGCGCGGCCGTTTCATTTGTTTCACAAATGGAAAGTCGTAATCTGGCCGGCGCATCTCCCAGTCCTATCTGCCTCTGAAAACACGCTCCAAATTTTATTCGGCGGCAATCCAGGCCGCGCATGTAAAGCTAACGCACGCGCCACGCGAACGCATTCATCAGATTAATTAATCCTAATAACACCGCGTCCGCTTTCGCACTTCGGATAATTGCACTTGTTTCATTTTGGAATTTATATTCAAGAAGGTCATTGCTTTAATTTACAGTTATAATTTACTTTGACAAGATAAATTATACAAATTTACTCAAACTGATGTTAAATAATACTCGAGTTGCTGAAAAAATTTACCCTTTGCTTCAATTTGTGTGATCTGTTGTTATTGTATTTAATTTTTTAAATCACACGTTGCGAATGGCCGAGATAATCAGAATATAATCGTGGCACAATTTGAAATTTTAATAAAATGTGATAATTTATAGAAGCAAATGATATTGTCTTCAATCTAATAATTCAAACTTTCAATGCTCAGTCCATATTAGGTGAAATTCAGTTAGTTTCTCTACTGTGTAAATTTATTAATGGAGCATTTTCAAGAAAAGTCGCTTTTCCTGTATTCAAAAATATTTGTTTAATTGTGGTATTTTAAACATTTTATTGTTTAAAAACAATTAATCGGTTTTCGTTGCTCATTGTGAAAAAACTTAAAATTAATTATTAGTACTTTTATTCTAGCAGCGCAAAAATTAACTTTTAAATAATTAATTTGTTGAATTTGCTAAGGGCAGATTTTTTGGAAGAAACCTCAAATTTGTTTCCGTAAATAATGATATAGTTGGTGCTTAATTAACTTTTTTAGTTTTAAATGGTCAATTTAAAAAAGTCCTTTTAAGAAAACCCCAAGATAATTGAAAATGACTTATTTCATTCTTATTATATGAGTACGTTTCTCGGTTAAAATATTGTCCAAAAAAAGTATTTTTGCCCATTTAATGCTAAATATTATTGCAATAAAAAAATGTGAAAACAGCGTAAACATAAATAGCATAATATAAGGCGGATTAACGGCGAGCGGAGCACATGATTAATGTGTGAATTATAGATGAAAATGCGACAGCATCTGTACAAGAAGAGGATGGAGCTCGTCAGCGCTGGCTGCTGGCAAACATCATTTGGCCCAAAACAGGCGCTTGCGCAAAATTCCTGGGCTGATGCTGTATCGATTGCAAAAAGGCATTAGCAGTGTTCAGGCATTGCTCGTCGAGTAAACACGGCACGATGCTCAAGCTCGTGGCGATCGGCCTCGTTTGGGCAACCGCGGCCAACGCTTTTCCCCTGCTGCCCACCTCCACGGTGAGTTCATTCTCCATTTTTCCATTGTTGGCCTCGTTTACATTAGGCCCGGTGACAACCGCGTCGTCTGTCACTCCGCGCGTTTGCCGCCCAAAACGGGGGTTGCGACAAAAAGTTGCGCTTTTCGCCAGACTCGTGGGCGTGCACTTGTTATCGTTGCGAGATCTTTGTGCCAATTTATTTGCCAGGATCTGTCCATTTTTTTTCTACATCGATTGCTTCAACACCCTTTGAGAAAAAATTCCAAGATAAAATTTTGCTTGCGTCATTTGAAAAATATGATTTCTATTGTTGTATTGAAACGAATAAGTGCAGGGAAATATTCGTCTTAATTGCAGATATTGTTGATTTCCAAGAACTTTGAGTGAATAATATTGACGTTATTCCATAATTAAAAAATAATTAGATTAAAAGGTCCAACCAAGATTTTAATTTAAAATATATATAATAAAAAATAGTTCAATTAAAAATAATTTTTTAATCCGTGATGTTTGAATTTTAACTCGGCTTTACGCTTTTCCTTCAAAAATTTTATATTGGCAATGGAGCTATAAAAGCCTCAAAACCCATCGAGAAAGAGCCATTAGCTTAATTTAATTTGAATAAAATCGATTATCAAAATGTATTGTACACCGAAACATTCTAGCCTCTGGCAAATATATCTTTTCGATTTTATTTATTGATTGAACTCTTGTTTGATGGTCGAAATAATTATTATTAGGAATTATATTGACGACCGTTTAAATAATTAAGTTCTACTACAATGTTTAATAAACTGGAAAGCATTATTATCTCCAGATTCCTATATTGGTGAAATGATGCTTTGTATCGACGGCCCTCCGGCGCAGCTTGTTATGGAAACATGCCAGAATTAATTAGTTTGAGTAGAATGTTGCAGATAAACCATGTCAACAAAGGGTTTGTGGAACTATCGGATTATATATATTTCATGAAGTTCTCATTATAAAAACCAGTTGCCAGTTTTAAAATAACTATGAATATGTGGAGGATTAATTTTCTACAATTTCTCAATTCAAATTTATTACTCTTAAAAACTGTTCACATATTTGATGTATTTGGAATTATTTGCCTTCTGAATACAATCAATAGAGATACTTTGCAATTTCGTTAAGCTATTTTGTGAAGTAAGATTTTAATATTTGGAAGAAAAAAAACGCCATTTTTGTGTGTTAATAATTCAGTCTTACCTCAAGACTGCAGCGTTCTAAATAGGAACTTAAAATTAAACTCAATAAATTGTTAGCAAATTTTAGAGCATGAAACTTGAACTTCGTTTAAAAATAAAAATTTATGTTTTTATAAATAATTACATAATTAGCAATAAGAAAAGCTCCCTTTTATTAATTATTCAGGGAATAAAAAAAAAACGCAATTCAAGAAAAAGAAGTCATAAAAAAGTTTTTGAAACGAATTTTCGCACATTTTTTTAACATATACCACCATACGTTGATTTACTACTGAATCGAACACTCACAATTCAACACCTACGCTCATGGTTCTGATATGGTTTTATCACCAAATCAAGTTTTGCGCATGGAAATCAAATCTTCAATTCCCTACCGAGAAATTCTTTGGGCGACGAACGCACATTAAAGGAAACGATCACTTTCCGGGTGATTTGATTTCGCTGCGAAAAGTTCGCCCCGTTATTTGTACGAGTTCATTTGCGCGTTGTTTTGCGCGACTCGAGGGCTTTGCTTTTGTATTGAATTTCAGCAGCGCGAGACTTTATTATGAACCCGGGCGGCGAACGAAAGGGCTGCAGTGGAGAGAGAGAGAAATTGCCGAAAAAGGGAACGACGCAAATTCGCGGGCCGCGCACACTTGACGCGCCTCTCGTTTCGGCGCCCAATGGCACGCGTTTCATCAAATTAGAACTCGTTTTCGCGTGCGAGAAACTTCTATCTCTCTCTCTTCCAGCGGCTTCTCCACCCCAAACCAACGAAATGAGGAAATGGAAATTGGGCGGCGAATTATCGCCCGCGACGACTCGGTTTTGTTAAGGCTATAAACGTGCGGTTAATGAGATTCTTTCCGTTGCCTCTGAAAATGAGAAGAGCGAGTTCGTAATGGGGGCTGCAAAGAAATTGAATTGCATTTTTAATTGGAAAAAGGACAAATTATGAATTTATTGTGAGCGAAACCTGTACTGAATTAATAATGAATTATTTAAACGTTATAATTTTCTGCTCTGGGTGTTTTTATAATTTTTTTGCCTATTCAATTAATTGTTGCAAAACATTTTGCATTGAAAAAGAAAAACTACTGTTAGGAGCGAAAAATTGAAATTCTGGAGACCAAAAAAAATCTTGAAGTGAGCCGGGATTATTTCGGTTCTTGTTTCCTCAGGCATTTAGCTAATTGTAAGAATTTATATTTCCACAATAATTATGTATTTTCATTTAAATGCATCAAATCATTGTCGTTCCTGACTATTGTTACATCATAATCTTTGTTTTAAAGATACTTTTTCTTTATGTATTAATTGGATCCCCGTATTTCAGGATAAATTTTGCTTCTTATTACATTTCATACTGAACATTACAAAATTTCTATTTGCGATAAATAAGTTTCACCCGAAGTAATTTGTGGAAAAAGGATCAAGATCAATAATTATATTCCTACCTTTCACAGAATCGAAGCACCTCTGGACCATTTTCTGAAAGCAGAAAATAAATTTCGCATGAGATTTGGTGATTTTGTTTCGCTTTTTAAATGGAATATCAAATCACGACTCTCGACTCAAAGAAATAATAAAAAACATTCAAAGCCAAAAAGAATTAAATTGAAAATGTTGTGCGCACAATATTTGAATAAGATTTCAATACACAAGAAAATTCATTATGAACGAAAATGCTTTTCAATAAAATTCATAACTTTGATCATTTGTCTGCGTAAAAAGCACACAAAGTGGCAATTTTCAAAGGCCTGCGCGCTGTGCAAAGGCAAATTAAACATCATTATTATTGCCCCTTGTCAGTATTGCTTTTTAATTATACCGACGAACGACAGGAAAAAGCACAAAAACTCCAGCACGTGCCACATTTGGCTTTTTGTACACATTTTCCTTTTCCTTTCCTGGCATTCGAAATTACTGGAAGGGAACGCTGCTTTTAATAACGTCGTAAAAATTAATTGGGTTTAATTGAGACGAACGGCGGAAAGTTTTCCCCTTTGAAAACACCTGCGCGAAATTAGAAACTTTTCCACCAGCGTGGAGGAGGGAAAGTTTGCTTTGGAGGCGAAAGTGATACGAGTGTCAAAACGCAAGTTTGCCCAAGCCGTGCACTGATCTATTATGTGTGTTTGTAGGTCAACATCTCGGACTCGTGGCTGCTGACGGACGCCGACAGCCCCGTCTTCTACCGCCACTTCCGCGACAAAGTGACCTGGGCCGAGGCAGAGTCGGTTTGCCAGTTCCACCACAGCGTGCTCGCCACTGGTGCGTATTCCTATCCTAATTACTAAGGGCGGTGGATTTTAGTCCATTCGGTTCGTCCCTTGAGGCTTTATCATCATTACGGAGTTCAGCAAGAGGGCCTCGTGTCAAATGCTAATTTTCCCCTTGATTAAGGTTTTGAGGGTGTGCAAAATGTTAATTTGATTCACCACACTGGCGGTTCAATTTGGCTGAGAGATCTTGAAGCAAACATTCTGTTGAGTGGAAGTTTTATTTTAATTACATGCGTCCTTAAAAACTTGATATAATATTGTAATTAAATATATCATTTAACAAAAATTTTGAATTTAAAGCATTGTATTCTTATGCTCTTTGAGAATTTTCTATAACTTTCGCGGCATACTTTATAATAATATTCATTATATTTCTTAATATCATTGTATAAAACAGATTATATCATATTCGATTAAATTATTATTAAAAATAATTACACAACATAGCACGATTCCATATTGACGATTGAAGAATGATCTGGATAGATCTTTCAGACAAAGCCAATTCAATATTATCCTTGGTTCTGAATTAATAAATAAAATTATTTTTAATATTTTATAAAAGAAAAATTAAAGAAAATACGAATTGCCAAAAATTTATGTATTTAATTTTTTTAAAAGAGTTAAAATTTACGTAAAAATAAGAATAAATTTTTCTATTTATATTTATTGATACAATTTCATTTTGTATTAAAATTATTTTTTTTAATCAATTTACAGCATTTTTCAATTTTAAGAATTAAATTAGATTGACTGCTCAATTTGCTGAACCCTTACGCATGATTGAAATAGTGTGCGGACGTTGCTTTGTATAATGAATATTTCATTGCGACCCCTTTGACTGAGAGCAAAGCATTCACTTGTGCAAAATTCACTCAGCGTTTCATTAGAGACGCCTGCTAATTGGTAGCCAGGCAACCCGCACACCAAGCCTAATCGGCCGGTTGCATAACTTGTCAATCTTTATCGATCGGACCGAGGCACGCACGAATATGTACATGTCAGTCAAAAGACGCACACAAACACGCCCGAGTGACAAATTGTCCCGAAAGAAAGAAAGGAAAGAGGAAACAATAGAGGCGCGCTCATGAATAAAAGATCGCGGCCCAGATTTCGTGGAAACGCCAGCCCGCTAATGGAAAGCATTTTTTCCACTCGGCTCGCGGTGAAATATTCATGGGCATGAATGTGCGGACCCATTTTTTTTGCCTGACTTCTTTATTTCGGCTACCCCGAGGGGATAAATGGAGTTGTTGTTGTTTTTTCGCGGCACTATTTTCTCTTCCTGGAAAATTTATCCGATAAATTCGGCCCGGAGACGCGCACCTTAAACGCCGGCGGTGCTGCAGTGATATATCAATTTTTCACCGGGCGAGCGAGCACTTTTTCTTGCTCGGCGAGGAATTTTTTATATTACATACGCCCGCGATCTCCGTTGAGCCGGAATAAACTGCTGGGCCATATTAAATTCCACTTTCGGATTTTTATGACGAGTTTTATTATTGCAGTGCCGAATCTCTCTCTGGAGAAAGCGAGCAAGAATGTGAATTCGAGAATTTTGCATTAGATTACAATTTAGGGGATTGTGTGTGAGAGGAATGATGTTGAGCACAAGTGAGTTTGGGGAGTGTTGGAAAAGTTTCCACCTTATTCTGAGAAAAAGAAGAAGTCTCGATTGAATACTAAAATAAATTTACAGTGGAGAAAACTTTAGTTACATAAATTTAATTTAAAAAGAAAAGTAATTAAAATAAAAGGGGATTGAAATGAATTTTTTTTTAATACATAGTTTAAACTCAAGAATACTTGTTCATTAATAGACTATAACAAAAAGCTGAATTTTTAGTTAGTAATATAAGTGCCAGGCAAAGTTGTTTTAAAACAAACAACTACCATTTTTCCTTTCCCTTAGAGAGTTGAAAAAAAAGAGTAATTCAATACAATTTTTCAACAGAGATGGTAAAAAAATATATTTCAAAATTTCTCAACTAACAATAAGTATGTATTCATTACAAATAAAACTGAAATAATAGCATAATTTCATTTAAAAATATTGCTTTCAATAACAAATTTTTACAGTGGTTTTACATCTTTCTTTGGTTATTTATATGATCCAAAATTACCACATTCCCCAGCAAATTATTGATTGTGAATAAATGTTTTATTGCAATACTGACACAATTTATTATTGAAAACTAAATGTTGAATATAAACTGAATGTTATTAAAGTAAATTTATCAATTTCAGTACTTTAACTACATACAAATTAAAAAAAATTTGCATCATATTAGTTATACATTTTCTATTTAGAAAATAGAACACCATAGATGATCGATCAATGTGGTGGCAATGATTGAAAACATGGCGTTTTCCTGTTCAACGCTCAAAACTGTTTCAAATTTTCCCGTCAGAAAATGCATTTGTTATTCGACATCCGAAATACTAATTCCCATCGTACCTTTTCCTGTGTTCTCTGAAACGCCAGAGCTGATGGTAGCTGCTATTGTGATTTCAGATTCTGGATTTATAATAATCTCTTAAAAATATGAAAGTTTTACTGGTAGTTTTTGTTTATATGCTGCATCAAGTGAGTAGAAATTTAATACAATGCCCTTTTGTTTCTCTTGTATGATAAATATTTGAAGAAAATTCAGGCGAACAATAATTTTGAGGAGGAAGATAAATTTAAAGGTATATTTTTACTTAATTGATAGCCAATCTTAACACTACAGGTGCTTTTAAAGATAAAACAACTTCGATGCTGAAAAAATCCTCTTCGCCTCCCGTTGAGTGGCGCAAATGCAATTCTTGCAATGGAAGTGGATCTGATGAATTCATGAGACAAATTACGATCGGTTCTGTTAAATATTGTCTCGCGCAATGTCTTGGTTTCATTAACAACACCGTGAACAACAGCAAAAGTTGCAAATACACCCCGAACGAATTAGGATGTGGTTCTGCGCCTTTTCTAAGGACAATTAATGAAATGCTCAGGGGCTACAACGACTGCATTCTTCCGTCTTGCCCTTGATATTTTAAAATGATATTTTCTTTTAAATTTGAGTGAATTCTTTTACCTTGCAAGAATATTTTTGCTAAAATTTATATTTATTAATAAATTATTGGTTAAAAATTATTGTTTTGACAAAAATGGATTTCAATGTTCCATTGTATTATTCACAGTCAAAAGGAAAAAACCTTATTTTCAAGTTTTTTTTTACTGGAAACTAACTATTAACCGCAATTATGTTTATCCAAAATAAAAAAATTTAATATTCTAAGTAGTACACCAAAATGTTTCCGCTGATTTCTTCTTTCCGTCTCTGTGCTACAGGAAAAAAATTTAAAATTCACCTGATTGACGTTTTTGATATGGTCACCATAATATGAATAATACATTATGCAAAAGAGGACATAAAAGGGATAATTTGTATCGATACACAACATTTTGTCCTAAGTTTACTAGGAGAAAAGTTGATTTGAATGTTTTAAGTCTGATTGGTCCAGAAATAGGGTTTATTGAAAATAAAAATAAAAGAAGCATTATTGTGTTTTTTATTTTGAATCAAAATAGCACGATTCGCAAAGAACGATTGCCACAAATAATCTCAGAGTGACTAAAAAGTAATAAAATAAAAAATAACCATTTCATCCGATTTTTTATAACTATCAATATTTTAATATTAATTATTACAATAAGATTTAATACTAAAAGGACAATATGAAATATCAGTTGGAAATTTTCCTTTTTCAAACTATATACATGGTTTAAGTAAGTAACAGGTGACTGTAAACTCAGACATGCAAGGACAAAATGAATGCTGACGTACGTCTATCCCTGCTCAACCGTTCTATATTGTCACGTCAGAAAACACATCCATTTTTTTAAAAATTAATTGTTGGAAATACACATTTTCCACGCAGCATTTCCTGCGTTCGTTGGACAGCCAGAGCTGCTCTGTGTGTTTCAGCGGCTTGTTAAAAGCCTCATAAAATTTACGCTATGAAAGTTTTGCTAGTCATTTTTGTTTTTATGCTGCATCAAGTGAGTACACAATTCTATTTCGCTCTTTTCTTTTGTTTCATTTGAATGTTAAGACATTTCAAGAAAAGAATGAAGATGATAATGAGGAAGAAGAGAGTTCAACAGAAATAATGAAGAGAAGTATTTTAATTTTCAACAGTTTACTCTTGAATTAATAGTCTACTTAAATATCACATATTTCAGATTTTACTAATTCCAACAAAGCAAGCGTGATAGTGAAGAAAACAACTATGAAACCCAAACAATCCACTTCTTCTTCTCCGATTGAGTGGCGCAAATGCACATACAATGAAAGTGGTTCTGATTTTATGAGAAATCTTAGAGTCGGTTCTGTTAAATATTGCCTTGCTCAATGTCTTGGTTTGTTCGACGAAACCCTGAGCAGCAAAAGTTGCAAATACACCCCAGAAACTCTGAGTGGTCAGGCAAAATTCAATTTTTTACAGAATAATTCAAAACTTTTGATATAGTTGCCGGAAAAAAGTGTGAAGGCCAATTCATTCCAAACTGGAGGTCAAACAAAAACGTTTTTTGCAATTTCAGCCCAATTTTGTAAGATTTCCTAATGCTTAAAAATATCGACTACAATCAAATTCACAATAAAGCAAGGACAATATTGTGATTGACAAAATAACCAATCGGTCACGGTGGATTGTAGAATCCAATTTCTGCACCCACATTTTGATGTATCCAGTTGTAAAATACGATGAAAGCCAGAAGAAGTTTGTGTTGATGGAAGATCAATTCGCAGGTTCGTTTTTGCAATTTTTCTTGCTTTGATACAATTTAGAAATTCAAATAGAAATGGAGCAACACCTGAAGTATTTTCAGAAGGCGCGGTTGAAAGTTTTAATTACCTTAGGTAAATAAAGTCTTTTTTTTTCAATATAACTTTACTTTTACCTCAATTAAACTCGTAGGAGACTATTGGGGCGTTCCGCCTTTGTCAATATCACCAAAGATTTTTTCAAGCGTCGCCAGAAATGAAAATACTAGAAACTCATTAGTGACAGAAGTTGTTGCAATTGTTAAGAAATACAACTTTGATGGTATCAATATTCGGTGGATTCATCCAGGCAGCCCATTTGTAATTATTTAGTTTTTTTCTCAAAGATTATTATTATTTAATCAAGAAAATAGGGCGCAGATGGATTTTTGCAAGATAAAGTGAATTTGGTCACAATTCTGAAGAATTTCGCAGCGGCTTTAAAACCCGATGGCCTGTTGGTCTCGATTGAGTGCACAGCCATCAAATCAGTTATAAGCAGAGGCAAAATTCTTTAATGCTGTAGAAATAAGGTTTAATTTTGAGTGGGTTATAGGAATCGATATTCCAAAGGTTGCGGCCGCCGTTGATTATATTTTGGTTTTTGCCACGGAATATCATGCTGGATCGTATATTACGACTGGATTGTACACGCCGGGCAAAGAAGTGGTCGGTTTAAAATTAATTTTAACAAAATCTATTGCAAATTAAATCGAAAACTAAGAATTTTGTATTATAGAAATCCACTTTGGAGATGTTTAAAAGTCAAGTAGATGATCCTGGCAAAATTGTTTTGGCATTTAAGCCGGAAGTAGAAGTTTTAGCATTGGCAAAACCGTGAGAAATTAGTTATAGAAAAATTAAATTGATTAATTTGGTACAGAAATAAGCAAGCGAAAATTGGAATTAGTGTCATCGGTGATAAAAAGGAGTATATTACTTGGATGGGGGTAAGTTTCCTAGCTTATGAATGACATAAACCTATTTAAATATGTGCAATAGCGAAAATGAAGGCAATTCATAAAAAAAAACATAAAATTAAATCACCATGATAATCCTTTGAAACTAGAATTTTCAGTCAAAATTTACCACTTAATTACTGAGATTTAAAATAAATAACATGCCTTACGATTAGTTCATGCGGCGGATGTATGTGACTGAAAAAAACAACTGGCTCATAACAAGGGGCACAAACGAAACGCAGACGTTTGCCTGCAATGGTGAAAAATGGGCATCATACGACGACATGAATGCGATTAAATATCGTGTAAATATAATGTTTATTTGTTCCTTAAAATTTAAAAAAAAAATTGGTGCAGATGGATCTTGTGCAAAACCTCCAACTGGGAGGAGTGCAAGTCATGTCGACTTTTATTGATGACATTTTCAACGAATTGGGATGCGGTTCTGCGCCTTTTCTGAGGACAATTAATGAAATGCTCAGGGGCTACAACGACTGCATTCTTCCATCTTGCCCTTAATGTTTTGAAATAAAGAAAGAATTCCATCGGATGTCAGTGATTTTTTAGTTTATTTTTGTAATTATTACGTTTAAAAATATGAAATTGATGCAGGCTTTTGAATATTTGTGCTTTATTAGTCGACAATTTGGCAAATTGAATTTGCTGTTTCTTTATGCTAATATGAAGCATATGATGACGTCTCTCTCTATGTGGCCAAGTATCAAAATCCGTTTCAATATTTCTGGGAAAAAGCCCGTTGTTTATCGCGCTTTTATACACTGTCACAACAACAACTATCGCTTCCTGCATGCGTGCGTCCAAAGCAGAGACACGAGTTTTTCACTGATTATGAGTGTATCAAAAAATTCAAAAATTTCTGGATTTTTGTCCATTAAATTTTGCAACCAGACCTAAAATTTGTAAGTTTACAAAAGTGTTTTTTATCATGGTCCAAACAAATATTCGATTGAGAAATTTTTGCTGTCCTGATTTAGTTCCTTATGCATAAATGATAATTTAAAATTAATTGAAAGTACAACCTCCAGCATGGACAAAATTAACTCTGAGGCTTGAGCCATTGATGAATTACAGAGAAATTTTAATTATCATCTTCCATCAAAATCAGACGACAACTTTAAAATAAATTCCTCATACAGAGATTTATTTTCAGGCAAAATTTTTATTTTAAAATTCCTCCAGCTAAGCCAAAATGATTAATGTAGATTAATGAAAGCACAAATGTAACACCCGGAGCAATTTACTCTGAGGAGGAAATTATCAAATTGTAATTACAAGAGCACACTACTAATGTGAAAACGCCGAGTCCTCTGCGCCAACTCTTGGTGGGCTGACTGCAGTATTCCAATTTCCATCAAATTTTCATACCCTGCCCGGTAACCACCCTTAATTCTGCCGACACGAGGTACCCTCTCTAGCTCTCTCCACAGCCAGTACACATTTAGATGCAAACTCATTTAAAAAAGGGAGCGAGCCGTGCGCTGTTCCACTCGAGATACATTTCTCAAAAAGCCTTTGAACCCGAAAGAGTTTCCCCCTTTTTGCCGGCACACAGTCGGAATGGGGAAGCACCTTTCAGCCTTTGACGCTTTTTGAGAGAGAAAGCAGAGAGCGACGGAACTTTCTAACCAATTTGACTTTGCAGTGCGAAACACGGCTGAATTTGACCGCACCAGGGCCCTCCTGCGACAGCTGGAATGGACCACGCCGGTGTGGGTGGGCCTCAGGCGCGACGACGGACAACCCATGTTCAAGTGGAGGTGAGAAATATAATTTTGAATAATAATAATTTATTACATATTTCTTGCTCATAAAAAAATCAATTAATAAAATACGGAAATAGTAAAAAAACAAGGTGTTAAGATTTTTTGAATCATTGCATCAATTTCATTAAAAAACAATAAAAATAATTTCAAACTTTATTAGATTTTCAATAATTACATTCTATTTAATTCAAAGAGTCTTAATTAAAAAGATCAGATTTTAATAATTTAAACAGAAGACATTTTTTTTATTTTTACTTCGCAAATTAATTGCCCGAAGTAAATTCCGTGACAATATTTATCACAGGACAGAAGTAAATCTAATTATTATGTTTAAAAATTAATTTCAAAATTTAAATTTCATTTCTTTATATTTTAAACAATTGCAAAGATTTCAAAAATTTACAGTTAATAAATTTACCATAATGGCTTTTGAAAAATTCATAATGGAAAATTAATAATTTGAATTAAATGGAAAATTTAACGTAATATGAATTTTGATTAAAAATTTAAAATGCAAAAAAAAATATGATTTCAGCACCCCAGCGGGTGCAACTCTGGAAGCTTCCGAGGGCTACTGGCACGAGTCTCCGAACGTCATCACCTCGGCGCCGCAGTGTGTCACCATCGACCCGGCGGCCGACTTCAGGTGGCGCGCGGTCGACTGCTCCAGCACGCTCGAGATCCACTCGTTCCTCTGCCAGATACCTGGTGCGTTGCTTTTGCTCCTCTCCCTCCTCGTCAGATAAGTCAATTAGACGCGGACGTGCGTGAGCGTTCGGGGCGCACGCTTCGGTGGCCGATAAGCGGACGGTTCGCGCCCCGACCGGAATTATTAATCGCGGTTCGCCCTGCCGGATTATTATTGCACGAGACCATCGATCCGCCGGAGGAAGCAGCCGAGCCGAGAGTAATCTCATTTTGACATTTAGACCTTTGCGGCTGGCAGGTCTCGCAGTAATTTGTAGCCCCGGGTGGAAAAAATTGCACCTCGACTCATGCGTTACGCTTGTAACAGACACGCGCTGAATTTGTAGCTCGCTTAGTTAAACTTTCATGAGCGGAGCCGCTAAAATTAAATTTTGTCTTGCAGGACGAGGAAGAAATTTTTCATCTAAATTCATGAACTGTGGACAGAAATAGTTTATGCTATATTTTACTAAATAAAATTAATCATTATTCATTATTATTTATAATTTAGTGCTATAATTATGTTTATTTATTTTTTTTTCATATGGTGTTCCCTTGGATCAATGTTGAATTAAATATTTTTAGTCAGTCATTGCAGTATTTAAAAATTGCAAAAAATCACGTTTATTGAACATTTAAATAAGCGTTTCCTGCATAAACTCTGAAGAGATTAGATCAAAATCAGATTCTTGGTATTTAATGGAATTCTTAAATTTTTAGTTACTTGATTCGCATTAGTATAATATCACTGGTCAATATTTAAATAATGATAATAAGGATAGCATTTTTCTCAATTGTGTGGACAAGAATTGTCAACACACCTTCAGTTTATATTTACCCAATTTATGTCAGTTTTGGTTTATTTATTTCTTAATTTTTTTTTAATACAATTTTCACGTCTCTGAGGGTATTGACAGGATCAAATTATTGTTTGCCAAAGAAGATTTTGCAAATGGTTCCTGATTTTAAAACGGTAAAAAAACAATAATTACAAATTTCATTGTTTGATGGTGAATATCGTGAATAGTGCATATTTCTAAAGATCACGATGCTTTTCACTTCTTTGGTATTTTTTTATTAATTCGGTTGTTTTATTTCAATAGCAAATTTGATGTTGTTTGATTCCAAATCATCGTTTGATGCTTCAGTAAAAATAACAGTTTGGTTAATAAAAGCTAACAATTTTTATAAAATTGTGGTTGAAAATTAATTCCATTAATTTTGTGTTGACTTTATACGGTCGTTAGTGTTAGGGTTAGCTTTTTTATTTTGCAAAGCATAATTTCTTCTGCTATTTTAAACTCTGAAAAAAGTAGTAATTTTTACCGCCGGTCTGAATTTTTCAATGTTAAAATTAGTAAAACCTTCTTTTTTTTGTTCTGTTATTAAAAAATAATACGAAAATTCTAATTGAAAATTTTAGCCTGCAAACGAAATTTCTAATTCACCGAGCACGTTTTTCCACTAAGGGAAAAAATGGACTTTCCCCCTCGGAACGCCGAGCACACGTACAGCGAAAGTTTTTGCGGTCAATTAAGCGACTTTGGAAAACAAAACGCGCACGTCCACGCAGGGCCCTTTTGTCATTTTAGTACATTTCTCTCTAGTGGATGAAATTAGCTGGATTGTAATTACGTGAAGCGAGGGGTGCATAACGAGATTAAGTCTGTGTCTCTCTTTGTCGCGCAGTGCCGACGTGGGTGCGGTTGGAGCACGGCGGGTGTTTGTCGCCGAAATGGCCCAACAAGGAGGTCACCGTGCAGTACAATCCGCAAACCAGGGCCCTGGAGATGATCGCCGATTGCGGCCTGCGAGGCACCAGGAGGATCGCATGCAAGCACAACTCTGAAAAGGTAATTAGACGCCGCCCATTTGCATACTATTCAAGTCGACTCTTATCTCCGCTCTCCTGAAACAATTATTCTCTCTGGCTAAACGGCGTGTGTGTGTCATCGTAAAATGAAAAGAGGGAAAGGTGAGGCCGGTTTTTATTGATTGTCGAGGACGGCCACTCTGCGGTTCGCGCGCATTAATGTGGCTAAGAGAGATATGGGTGTGAAATTTACAAAAAGGGATTCCGCAAGGGTGAGAGGAATTCCAGGGGTAAATTTGCAAACGCGCGCCAGAACAAAGGAAAAACGGGCGCTTTGTGCATGAATAAAATATAATTTGAGGTTCGTGGTGAAAAGGGGCGATTTTTTAATGGGAGAAATAAAAAATTATGAGAAGAGGAAAAGATGAAAATTAATTTGGGAAATGATATTTATTTAAGCAAAAAAGAGATAAAATAAACAGTTTTATTTTTTGTAATCAATAATTATTTTAGCTGGTGGCTCTGAAGCTTCTTCTTATTTAAACCATTTGAAGAGTGAATTTAATTATAAGCAAAAAATGCAAATTTGACTACAACACAACAGGGGAAGGAAAAATTTCCGATTTTTATTAACGACTTATTTGGCTGAACAAAAGTTAGTAGGCATACTTATTTAATTTTTATTTATTTTTTAGGGAAGTTAAAAAAAAGTGAAGTGGTTTCTGTTCTGTTGCAGATTGTAAATAAAATCTGGCAGAAAAATTGACAAATCATTTAAAGAGGGTGAATTAAAGGCTCAATTTTAGTTCCAAAATAATAAAAAAAAAAATACTGAAAGACCATAAAACACTCTTAAAAATAGGACAGAAATAGAAGTTTCAAATAATTACAAAAAATATTTAAAATTAAAGCATTTAATACTTAAAATTGTTTAAAATAAATTACAGAAAAAACGACAAACAAAGTCTTTACATCCACTGTCAACAATTAATGAATTTTTGGCCAAAATAAAAAGAAACCAAAAATTTTACCAGTCTAGATATGAATTTTAAAGACTAAAATAATGTTTGCTCTCAAAATTTCCCACAAAGATAGTTTAAAATGTATATGTATTGAGGAGAAAATGACAAAACGAGCAAGAAAAAATAATTTCATTACCAGGAAAGTGTTCATAAAAAAAAATCACAATTAAATTTCTATTTCAATAGCTATCATTTTATTTTAAAATGAGAGTCATATTAAAATTTGTTTATATCCGTTTCAGGACATTCGCAGACTGGAGCACAAATTGAGATGCTCAGAGGAGAGCGGAAACCACATGAAAGCGGCCACACCGCCACGTCCCATCACGCGGCACCGACGGGACGTCCAGGAACCCAGCGCAGCTCCGACCGCCGACCTTTTGACCGCGCACAGTTTCGCTCCCCCTCTGCAGCCGACGGAAATCGATCAGCAAACTACTGAGAAGCTGCAAGAAACGACCACTGAGAAGATCATCGTGACTGTCAGTCCAACCGAGATGGCGACGGACTCCGTTCCGAACCCAACCAAAGACATCACCGAGGCGCCGAAACTGCAGTCGGACGTTGATCAGGCGCCGTCGGTCAGCACCACCCGCGAAGCGACGAGCCAGATGAAAACTGAGGAGGCAAAAACCACCACCCCTGCCGTTCAAAAGGAAGAAGAGGAAAAAATTGAAGCGACCACCGAGGAAGAATCAGAGAAATTAATCATCGCCGTCTCTTCGGCGCCCGAATCAATTTCCGTCGTCAGCAGCACGACCACTCTTGCAGATACGGAGGAAAGGACGACGGTCGCTTCGTCTTCCAAGATGAACGTTGAGATCATCGCACACATTTTCGACACCAGCACCGACGGCAACCGCGTCATCACCGTCGAGGAGTTCCGGCAAAACGAGGAGGCGCCGACCGCTAGGCCCGCCGTCGGCCAAGAGGAGGCGAGTATTTCTCTTCTTATCTCTTTTTTGCCACCGAGAAGCCTTATACTCGCTCACGGCATTATTTTCGTGTATGTCTGCACGAAAAGGCTTAAATTTATTCAATCCAATTTTCCCTCGCCGGCGCAACACAAACAAAGAGCGCAAAAACACACACCAAATTTATGATCGTGCGAAATTTATTCGCTCCCAGAATTCATGAGTTTGCCTTGAATGCCATTATATTATGCCAGAAAGTGGTGTAAAAAATGGTCAAGTATGGAAAAAGGAATTTTTTGGCTCTTTTGCTACTCAAGCACGTCTATAAACAGTTTCCTCAATCAACAAAAAATGGAGATAACGGTTTGGAAAAATGACATATGTTTTACAAAATAATTTAAGGCCAAACTAATTGACAAGTTTATCTTAAGATGAAAAAAAATTTATTTCACATTTGTATTTTGGCCCACTTATGAACAAAAAATTATTTAATTAGCACGCCATTAAAATTTGATAAAAATAATATATTTATTTTTTAATTTTTTTTATGGTTAAATGAAAATTGATTTAAAAAAATCCAATCATTCTATGCAAAATCCACTTTGGAAGGAGCTCTTTTTATTGTCTTGTGCTCACAGTTGATAAGAAACTTCTACCAAAGTAAACATCAAATATATTCCATAAGCTCCTTCCCGAAGAGCAAACACGTGTGAAAAGTGGAGCAGAGCGGAAGGGAATTTTCTCCTCCGCGTAATCTGCTCTTCTCTCTTTTTTGTGCTGAAAATGCAATTTTCCCCCCACCAGTTGCCCAGATTATGATGAATGATGATAAATGTGTTGGCAGGAGATCGACATCGACCAGATGCAAAACACACAGCCCCTGGTGGTGGCGAAGCACCACGTCGTGCCGGGCACCCCCAGGAACGTGCCCTCGACGATGACACAGCACGACCCGCCGCACCACCCGCCCCTCGTCATCGCCATTTCGCACCACAACTTCACGCCCGGAATGCCCAGAATCGTCGCCCCGCCGCCCCAGGTCGATCAGGCCCAGGCGCCCTTCATGCACCACCCGATGGTGCACGACGGACACCCGAGAATTGTGGGTCCTGAGGAGATCAGGTCGGCAGAGGACCACGTTGCTCAGAGGAGGAAACAGTTTTTGCCAACGCCTTTGCAAGGTTAGATTTTTTTCCATTGTAAAAATTTTAATTCTGCACAAGATTTGTACTTTATAACTTTTAAATTTTGGATTTTATCTGAAAAGTTAGTAATTAATATTATTAAATAATCAATGTTAACAAATTTCAATATCAGAGAAATAAAAAAAGCAAAAAAATTAAAAAGGCATTAGCTTGTTGCAATAAAATAGGGGTCGCCTCAAATGGCCCGAAAAGAAATTGCCCGAACGCATGTCGCGGAAATTGCCCGAACCGGAAATAGCCCGAAAGAACTTCCCCGAAGGAAGTTGCCCGAAGACTTAGACAGCGGGAAGGAAAATGACCGAATTTTTTGCGGAAATAGCCCGAAATGAGACTGAAACTAGACTTTTCAATGCGTGACCAAAAACTGGTTCTTTAATGAACAAGTAGCAAATGAGCAGTTGGGATTAGGATTTAGAGTCTGAATCAATCTGCTGAGCGCGTGAGCTGGCTTTCGGGGAACACACTTGAAAGAAGCGTCTATGTGTACCTCCCATTTCTTTTACCAGCTTTTACCCTCTGCAGAATTAAGCAAATCTGCTAATTGCGAATTCCACGAGCGTGTCGGGAATGTTAGGCAAAATGTGCGGCGCCGAACCTTCTCAAGAGTGCCTTTCAAAGACATTGTGCTGTTCATGGCACACTCCTTCAAACGCTCCTCAAAAATGAAAAATGAGAAATGCCTCCGAAGAATTTGGACTTGGAGGAATTCGAAAAATGAGAAATGCCGATCGAAAAAGTAGAGAGGAAGAGAGAGAGAGAGAGAGTGTGTGTGTGTGTGTGTGTGTGTTTGTATAATGAAACGCAAAAACATTTGCTATCTGTTCATTCTATAAAGATATAAAGAGTGCTTGTATGCAACCTGCTGCGAATTTGGGTAACTTCCGATTCGGGCAATTTCTGCGCAGATTCGGGCATATTGCTCTTGAGAATTCGGGCAGATTCCGGTCTGCAGACGTTCGGGTAACTTCCGATTCGGGCAATTTCCTAGCAAAAACGTTCGGGCAATTTCTTTTCGGGCCATTTGGGGTTCACCTAAAATAGAAGTATTTACTATCAGTTTTATTATTAAATTATTTTTTTAATATTTAAAATTTTTTTTAAATAGAACGACTGATTTCACAAAGATTTAAAATTATAAATAATTTTTTAAATTTAATTTAAATATTGACAATATTTCCTTCTGTAGTAGAAATTTCTTTCTTTATAAATAAAAACAATGGATTTAATAAAATTTTCCCACGATATTTTTAATTACATATAAATTAATTTAAATATGCATTTAAATTCAGTTTTAAATCTCACTTGATAAGATTTATAATTTGGTTAATTTCACAGGGCCGATCCCGGAACAGCTGCACCACCACGCACCCATGATGGTGCACCAGCAGCAAGTTGAGCACCACGTAGATGTCACCGAAGAGGCAATGGTGCCATCAACAACCACAGAGGTACAAACCGAGAGTGACAAAACCGAGGAGGAGGACATCGAGTTCCAGGACGAGGAGCCGGAGGCGTTGCAGGAGGCAAAACAGCGCCAGGGCGAAAAGTCCATCGTGGTCAGCGTCAAGGTGGAGGAGATGGAAAGCACCGAGGACACTTTGAATGCCGAGACGGACGAAGAAATCATCGAAGCCAAGCAGCGACTCAAGGGCAGGCGGACGGACGAGAAGCCTGTCGAGAGACACCTGGCCCGCAGCCTCTACCCTTTCATCATCAACAGGCTGCTTGGTTAAATTCATCGATTGGGGAAAAAGTAAATTAAAAACAGAATCAATTTTTTTGCAACGAAATTCTCAACTAGTGGTTCGGATCGAGAGTAGGTAGCAATAAGAAGATGAGTCTCTAGAAAAACTCTCATAAAATTAATTTAGAATACAAGGAAAAGCACTACTAAAATTTTTGGTAATAAATCTTGAGGCATATGAAAAATTATCTAATGAAAAGTCTAGCTAAAGTTTGATATAAATCACTTTTAGAACATTTTTAGCCGCGTAGATTTCTGCTTTTACTTTGACATTCTGCACACGCATTTATGAGATAACACGTTGCTGCACTCACCGTCCTAAATGCTGCCTGATCGACTTTTTAAGATTTTCCCTGATTTCTCGCTAATTATCGAGGCTTCGGTCTGTGTGTGTATATCTGAGCACAATTTCACTATAAAAATATAATTATATATCGCTCTACTTGGGACAGAGAGTGGCGTGCGAAACAGACGAAATCCCTTGATTTAGAATGAAAGATAAAACGACCGGAAAAAAAAATAAAATTTCAAACAAATAATCGAAGGAAAAATTTTGGCTCATGTTACGTGTGTATGTCTCGATGGAACAGCTTTAAACATATGTAATTAAAAATATTCTTGCGAAGTACAATGTCAAATGTGAAATATGATGTTTTATATGAGCCATCGGAATTTATTCACCAGGTCAAATTATTCACTAACGAAAAAAACCAGGCCGTGTTTCGATTAAAATAAAAAGTTGCTGAAAAATTCCAAGCGAATGTAACTGGTGCAATAAAAAGTTTTGTGAAAATGTGATGCATCTGTCCCACTTTTAAGCAACATCTTTCGCGTTGTACTAACTGTAATTTTAATCGTCTTCAAATACACGTATAGACATGTAAATAAATGTTATGCTCAAGAGGGAAACAAATTACAATGTTAAGTGTAATGTGGGATGTTAAAAGTGTCGACAAACTGAACCGACACAACGACGACGAGTGCGTTTGCAAACAAGGCGTTCCTTTGCAAACGCATACAATTCACAGTTGCCAAATGGATCGTTGTGATGAATGAATTAAAATGAGAAAAAAAATTGAAATTATAAAAATGTTTCCCCATTATTTTTCCTCCGCGCTGAAAATATACTATAAAACAAAAACGGATGCCAAAGCAGATTGACAATGATTATTTCAATATTATTCTTGATGTTGTGTAAAATTCAAATACATTTAAAAATCTTTTTCTCAGTTGCTGTTATCTGAAAGTTTATTAATAAATCATTCACTCTAAACTGGTTGATTTTAATTATTCAAACCCAAAAATATTTTGACTAAATAGATCCAAGAGATTAAATACAAATTAGATAACTCATTTTTAAAATAATAAGGCGATAGCTTAAATTTATAATCAGTAATATTTTAAGTACCAATTTTTTTGCCGGAGATTTATGTGATATAAATGAAAATATTCTGTTGCTTTTGTTAATTCAATAATTTAATGTTTCATCATTTATGTACATAAACATCACAATGAGCACATGTTTATTTTGAGGGGGGCAGGTAGGAGCGATCAAGCGAGTTGCCCCTGGGAGGACCGTACTGCGAGCTGGGAGCAGAAAAGTCATCAGAGTAGCCGCCGTTGGGGGCGCCATACTGAGTGCTGGGGGCAGAGCCGAAGGAGTCTCCGGAGCCGGAGGGAGGATCGTACTGGGTGAGGGGAGCACCCAGGGCGTTGGAGGCACGGTCAGGGGGGCCGTACTGGGCGCTGGGAGCAGATCCGAAACGGTCGTTGCCATTGGGGACTCCGTACTGGGTGCTGGGGGTGCCGTTGGAGTAGCCGTTTCCATTGCGGTTGTTTCCGTTGCGGCTGCTTCCGTTGCGGGTGTTTCCGTTACGAGAGGGGGCTCCGTATTGCTGGCTGGGGGCAGCGGGGGCAGCACCATTGCGGCCGTTGGAGGAGTAGCTGGCAGTGGCAGAAGCGAAACCAGATCCAGTGCGGATGGAAGAAGTGGCGCCACGGCCATTGGTGCGGCCGTTTCCATTACCATTGCGTCCAGAGGTTGAGGGGGCGCCGTAAGTGCTGCTAGGGGTGCGAGCGCCAGCGGAGGGTGCGCTGAAGGAGGTGCTGGGGGTGCCGTAAGTCCTGCTAGGGGTGGAAGCGCCGTTGTTGCGGTTTCCGTTGGTGGACTGCTGCTGGCCGTTCCTGTTGTTGGACTGTCCGTTGCGGTTGTTGCTGTTTCCATTGGAGTACTGGTAGCCACCGTTGGAGACGTAGTCGTTCTGGGCACCACCGATGCTCTGAGCGTTGGAGTCATAACCACCCTGCTGAGAGGCACGTTCGCGGGCGATGCGCTCGTCGGCTTCCTTCATGGCGTTGACGACGGCCTCGTTGGTTTCACGCCAAAGACTCTCGGCCTGGGTGCAGTCCACGTTGAAGTACCAGTCGCAGACCAGGTACTTCTGGTTGAAGAGGGTTCCGTTGGGGCACAGGAAGCTGTCCATCTGTCCACCGGTCTGGCAGATGTGGAAGACCTGAGAGTTTAAGGGTAGATTTATAAACTGAATCTTCAAAAGTTTTTTAAATTTTTTTAACAAACCTGGCATTGAGCTTCAGGGTCGGCGTAGTATCCGGGGAACTCTTGCTCCTCACATTTGAAGGCAGTCTCGGGAACAGTGTCGTAAATGGGGTAATCCTCACCGGGACGTCCGGGAATGGAGCCCACTTCTTCCTCTCCGGCCTGATCATCAGCGCGATCGGGGTATCCATTAAATCCCTGGTCGTTTTGGGAATTGCTTGAGCTGAATCTATCACCGTTGGGACCACCAGAGGAGTACCCCTGCTGGGGACCACCACGAGGGTAGCCCTGCAATAATATCCAGTTAATTATTTTTTTTAAATTTCATTCGAGGAAAAAAATAGTAATTATGTTTATAAAATTTTAATTAATAATTTTTAATGATCAAAAATGTAAAAATTTAATTTTAAATGAAATTCATTTGTAAGACAAACGAAAATTTGTTCTAGTGAGTTATGTGTTGAGCAATAGGGTAATAAATTGAGGGTGAAATTGCTTACCTGTTGAGCTGCTACCACGCAGAGTATGGCACTGAACACGACAAATAACTTCATGATCGCACCGAATGAGCGTTTGTTTGTTGTTTGCAAACGATGAAACGAGAGTGAATGTGCCTTTTGCGGTCCATGGCGGGCCTTTTATACCAGCTCATCTTCATCTCTTGGAAGGGGCAACAATTAGATCATCGCGCATCTTTTCATATTGCACACACAAATACACTCTTCACGCAGCAATGGATGGTCAGACTCGCTCCAGATTGAATATGGCCGAGAGAAGGAGATTTAATCTTCGTGCACCTTTGCCCGCGTGAAGAGATTGCAGGTGCGAGACTTGGCGCTTCTGCTCCAACGCGGGTGATTAATTTGCGTGAGGTTTCATCTCGTAATTAGTTATGAGCCGAAATATTATGCACGGATTGTTTCGCAATGTGATTAGTGCATTGTGTGTTTTAATGAAGGTGCAAATTTTTCTTCAATCAATTATTGATCGGGATCTTCTTGCTACGAAACATCTCGAATAAAATAATTGTACCAATCAAAGCATGGCGTGTAATGATATATTAGTAATTTTATTTCTGTCGGCTTAAATGGAACTAAAAGAAATTATGTTATAGAATAACAAATAATAAAAAAATTGCTCTTTACAAATCATTTAGATTTTTTAATTATCAATAAAATATTTACTTTCAAAAGCGTATATTTATATTTTAATTTTAAACTCATTTTTGAGGAGCTGTTTAACTTTTTGTTTTGTTAAATGTTTAAAGTGAACCGGGATATAAAAATGTATTGCTATCATATTTTATTATTTAATAATATTTTAATGAAATAATGAATTTAAATTCAATTTTCTTTTTTCATTTGATTTTATTTTTTAATCAACAAAAGCCAACCTTCTTCAGTTACAAAACCATTACAGTTCAATTTTCACCAGACGGATTCTTCAATTTTACTCATCAAGTTTTGATCTGCTGATTACACTACTTGCGAAATATTCATTGCAGACGATTCAGGTAGTCTAATCGCCAATCCATCTCTCAACTTGCGAGCGCCTGTTATTAGAACTAAAAAAAACGCAATGCTCGGAATAGAATGCAGCTGTAATACCTTTGGATCATTACGTTTTGCAATATCAAGAGCAAAATCTAATTACATTGACTGCAACATATCATTTATTCCGCTCGACGCCGTTTAATTATATTTGTTTGCAACTATACACGCACAACTTGGTCGTTTCCTCCAAAGCCATTTAAATATGGTTTTTTTTCACAATATAGAAGTGTTAATTTTGTAATAATTTAGCTGAAAACAAATAAACAGGCTAAACGCGGAAATTTATGGCCGCCGAGTGAAATTAATGACCATCGAGGATCCACCCGCGCCAACGCTTGCTTCGCTTGATGCCTGTCAGATTAATGAAAGAGGTGAAAGTGCTCGCCTCGCGGTAACAAGGTTAATAAATATAACGCACACATTAACGGCGGCCAGACGCAGAAAGTCGATTGTGCAGTACCCGTCCGCGCTGATCTCATCTCTTGTATAATACATTATTTTCATAATTGCTGTTCCTCGTTATATAATTCGCGGCCCGCAAGATTGAGTTTGGCCAAAACCAAGTCAAAAGTAATCATTTCTGCTTGATTTGAATGCACGACTTGAGCTGTTGCAACGAGAGTATAGTGCAAAAATTAACTTTTCTCTGCAGAAACGGTAACGACTTTCTTTATACGCAGGCACGACGCCGACAACCTTCTTTGCGTCATTGAAATGTTTGCGAGAGTTTAGTATAATTGTGCTCCATTTGCTTGGCGCAATCAATCAAACTCTTCATATCCATACAGGTAAATTTGCGCAAAAATTGCTCTTATTCATCAGTTTTTAACTTTTCAGATTAAAACATCATTATACCTATATTCAGTTTACATTTTTTAAACATTAAAAATTCATTTATTAACAGTTTATAAACACGACAATAACATTTATACACTTTTGCACTTAATTTTGTATACATACTATTTATCAATTAATTTTTGCCACATTAAGAACAATTTTTTTTTATTAAAACCAATTATTTACATTATATGATAAATAAAACTTTATATTTTTTGCAGTATTTTCTTTTATATATTTTTGATAAACAACATATTTTTTAATTAATTTATATTTTATTATTGCATTACAAATAAATTAAATTACCGTGACCTGTTGCAATAGTTGGAATAAGTATGAAATGGTTTTACAAAAATTTATCAAGACCATTTTCATGTGCTTCGTTGGTTGGGTATTATATAGATTATTATTGAATTCACTTCTGGTTAAAACAAAAATAAAATTAACTAACATTTTAAATAGTGTATTAAACTATATAAACTCGTCAAAGTCTAACATTTCGTGACTTGCACCTTTTTTCAACCGCATATGAATCCAAGCCATGTTGGCGCACTTGATTGATTCTGAGTTCATTTGCAAATTCGAAAGTAATAACAATTAATGCCGGGCACGATTAGAGAAAGACAGCTCAGCATTAATTAAAATATGCACATACAAATTAGAGGAGCAGGTGCTCGCCGCTCTTGTAATGAGAAGGTGAGTGGGTTTCCAGCTAGAGCAGACAGAAGCGGAGAAGATCGGTCTATTATTCAGATATGGGGCAATATAAAAGCAGCAGACGCTTGAAGTATCCACTTTGATCAAATGCGAATTCCGAGCGTAATGAGGTTGGATAGGTCAGCGGATCGAAACGTACGCACGTGCACCAAAAAAAATCCAAAGAGAGATGCTCCCGAAATCCTGATTACGAAATAAATGGATGTTTGATATAAACTTGAAGGCCAATTTGGAGCTATAAATCAAAATCGAGATGACGTTAATCAGGGTCTTGATTAATTATTGTTTTGATACATTGAGAAATCTTTCCATATTTGCAAGACATAAATTACTGCTTTTTAATGGCGAGCTCTATAGTTAAATTAGTTTTATTTTGTTAAAGAAATGTCAAAAAGTTGGAAAATTTTCAAAAAGTTATTTGAATTGTTGGCGAAGCCGCCGTCCCCACAAGAAATTGAGGTCTTTACACTCGTTTTCATTGATGGATGTTTTTGTTCATTTTTTTAAACAATTATTAAAGAGTTACAATTATTATCAATCCATTAATTCCCACTAGATTAAAATGAAAAAATAATAAAAATTAAATAAAACTTTTATAATAATTTCAAAATTTCATCTTGAATCCTAAAATTCGTTCGAGTGAAACAATTGGCTAAATTCAAATTGATTAATTTTTCATCCAAAATGTTTTTTCATCAAATTGATAAAATGTTTAAAATTTTCCTAAGGATTTCCTTGCATATCAAATTTGCAATTGATTAATTAATCCCCACTTCGGACTTTCAGATTAGCGCTGCTCTCCGGCGTGTCAAACAAAACTTCCGCTCTACTTGTCAGGGTTAATTACAAAGCCCCTCGTGAATAATAAACAGTAGCATAATAACACATCGCCGAGTCGCAAAAAGCCGCAGAGAGGAATTTTCCGTTCGTGCACACGAAACGTATCCGTGCCCCTGCGGCAAGTGGAGCATGCAAGCCGAGTGTCACCACGACCTAGCGGGTTGCATACCGCGCCGTGACCACGCCTGTGTGTTGTGTACCAATTGGCCGCACTTCCAGTGAGCGTGAAAAATTTGGCATAACTCGAGCCAGAGAGCATAGTCGAATTGCTCGACGGATGCGCTCGGTGTGAAGCAAACGGGGTGAAAAAAGCAGTCATTTTTCATAAAACTGGGGACTTTTATTTGCAAAAAAGTTGGAATGGAACGACGATAAAAAAGTATTATACAAAAAAATAGGACTGCAATGAATAAAATTAAACTAGTACACTTGAATATTGATTCCCAACCTTCCAAATTTATAATGGAAAACAATTCTCTCTTATTTTTGTTACACATCCATTTAAAATTTTGAGTTATTAAATTTGTAGCCTTTAAATATTCTTCAAAACAATTTGACTTCAAATTAAATTTTTCTTAAATCAGTCTCATGTGGTTTATTTTTTCCTACCACTTTTTTTTCAAATTAATTGAAAATTTTATCACAACCTAATTTGACTGTTTTGAAAATAATTATAATTAAAATTAACTAGTGCGTAAATGAGGTGAAATTAATTTCAAACTGTGCAATTATCTTAGTCCCGCGTTGCCGATTCCCAAAATGATAAATGAGATAAAATCTGACAAATTTGCAAAGCTGCCGCGAGAAATTATACCTCGTGCCAAAATTACAGAAGATTGATTAACACCAAGTATACATTTGCTGCGTTTGCAAGTAATGAGAAATGTCATTAATTGCACATTATTTCGCAACTCAGACGAAATGTGAGCAGACCTTTTTGTTTGTGCAAATGTGCAGGATTTTTTTTTTATCAAAAATAACTATAAAGCATATATGGTTTCAACTATAGTAGCACGGGAGCTGTATTGTAAGTAAAACGTCAAATAATTTTTATTTTTTGCTGGTGAATAGATCATTTAACTTCTATTTTTAGTTTGCTTTTATTTGGACAATGGGTCTTTGTAAATAATATTGTAAATAACTCGTACAGCATTTTTTGAGTAAAATCTTGTTAACTTTAATTTTTTTTTTAATTATATATTAAATTTCATAAAATATTTCCATTTTAAGTTCTTACAATTTTATTGTTTGTAGATGGAAACAAAAATTTTTAATTATTGCAATTTTTTATATTTAATTTTAAATTTCCAGATTTTTTATTAGTGCCGTCTTATATTTTGGTTAAAGAATAAATTTTAAAAAAATTTGATAATTATACAACCATAAAATATATATTGTCTTATTCTCATTTACGTCACCTGGGCTGTAAATGATCAAGACAGAAAATTAAGGTATCAACTTTTTAGTTCAACAAAAATGAATAGCAAACAAAATGCGTGCAGCTCCCATTTTCTCCTTGAAAAACGCGACCTCTGTCCATTTAGGGACAACAAACGGACCATCAATCAAACGACTAGTAGAAATTTCGCAATTACTCTAACCAAATCGGAGGCCAATTGATCAAGAGGCATTATGCAAAATCAACGAGACGATTCAATTGGGTGAAAAGGGATCCGTGCTGCGGGCACGTAAGCATTCCACTTGTGAATGAAAAAAAGAGCAAATCGCTCGCTGCTCGAGTGGTTATTAGTTGGCGGCGGAAAACGAGCGGCGATCAATCAGCCGCGAAAAACGAGAATCATCTTCGACTGGTGCGATATTATTAATACGTGCAAAGATGATTGTGCAATTGGTAACGAGGGAGAAAGAATACGAAATGTGCTCCCAAGAGAGCTTCTTCGGCTTGACCTAGCTTTCGGGCAGAGTGACGCAACCGCGCGGGCCATCAGGATAAATCACCGGCATGCAAACCAAATTCGTGCTTCTGATTTCGTCGACAATATAATATTTGCAAAGTCCGTCGAATTTGCACAAAGCTCAATTGTTGCGTTTCATGTGGCGGTACGAGTAATGAAAAGGTATAATAAATACGGGTGCGAAGGATTGTAAATCTTCTACCAACAGGTGCGCGCACTCGCTCAACCTGTTTGTTCGCAGCGTGTAATAAAATCAGCTTTGAAAGGAAGAGCAAAAGAGGCTCTTTACGACTAATGGCCGTGGTCGAACCTTGATACCAATTTGCTCGGCTCTGTCCACTTCACTACCAATGAGATTAAGAAGGTTTTTGTGCAATTGATATCAATTAGGTCTCCATCAAGTATTTCAAATTTTTGGCCAAATCATGAGATTAATTTTTGAATACTTTTGCAATAAACTAATTCCTTTCAAAAGCGTGTAAAATTAAAAAAAAAAGAATATATAACAAAAGATCAAACTAGACGAAGTTGCAAAAAATTTTAATCAGAAGCTGCGTTAATATTTAAAGCAAAAAAATTAATTAAATACGTACAAAAAAAATTCCAATGGAATTTTGCTAATCTTTTATTAACAATTCGTTATATTTAAATTTATTAAAAAAATCAATCTTTTGCAATTAATAAGGGTTTGATATGAAACCCTAACCTTTCTGTTTCTATATTATGCTTTTTCGATCGTTACATTATATAACCCCCTAATTATTCCCTGCCCTGCTGACTGTAAATCAAATTAAAAATCTGTAGTAATCCAGGTAATAAAATTTATTTTATAAGTCTGAGAAGAATTTGGCTTTAATAGAAACTATGCTGCCATTTGTTAGATAACAATTTACTTACTTCTTTGCTAATTTAGTCACAACAAAAAAATCTTTAAAATCATTAAATTCTTTAAAAAAAAAAAACATCGCTGGAATATAAGTATAGTTATCTTTTTAATTAGATTAAACTGCTTAACAAATTCCTAGCTAAAGTAAATTTTATTTTTAGAACATCTTGAAATTGTTGAGTTTTCAATTAAAGAAAATATTTCTATTTTAAGATAAACATAAATAAATTGGTGTTAATATAAAATGGAATAGAGGCACAAAATTGAGGCGCCAATTTCCCTGCCTTTTGGAAAGAAACATACTTCTTTCGCGCCTCTCAACTGAATCCAAGCAAAGAGCTCCCTCTCCGCCGGCCCCCTCGTAGCCGCAACCAGAACGTAAGGTTTGTAAAGTAAACAAAAAAACAAAACATCAGTCGTCATCAAGAAGTATAAATTTTATACTTCTTGGTCGTCATACACGTGCGATGCGTCCCGAGTTGTGCCGTCTTTGCGAGCGGCCAGCGGCCGACGGCGGCCATTGGGCGACAGAGTTGGACTTGGACAAGCTGACCAAGTGGTGTTTGCTCAACTTGGGCACAACTTTGACCGGCGGAGTGAAGGACGACGACCTCTTTTGCTGTTTCTGCGTTTGGGACGCAAAGTAAGAATATTATTTTGTTTATTGAAAATTCAACTAATCAAATTTTTTAGATTTCAATTTGAGAATGAAGCTCTAAATTCAAATGGAAATAATGATCTTCAATGGTGGCCTTCTGTTGATCCAGGAAACAATAAGATTCTGTTTGAAGCATACTCGAGTGAGTGTTATTCATTTTCTTTTTTAATGTTTTTTATGTTTAAATTTTTTAGAGGGTCTCGTGCAACAGAGTTGGGTGTCATTGGAGAAGATAAAACTTAACAATCCAGAGAAGGAAGAGTCGGATTTGAAAGAAGAAAACCCCGGACAAAAATGTGTATACTGCAGGAAAACTTTTAAATCCTTATTTTATCATATAAAAAGAAAGCATGCGGATATTGCGATTAGATGCAACTACAATAAATGTTGTTCCACTTACTTCAAAAGCTTCAAGCTTAGAGATGCCCACATTAAAGAAGTTCACATGAAACCAAAAGTAAAAAGAATCATGGACTGCATTTACTGCCCGAAAAAGAACTTAAAACTGCGATTATTATACACACACATAAAAGAAAATCATTCCGAAATTGCTATTAGGTGTAAAGTTCCGTATTGTGTATCATATTTTTTATCAAAGGCTGAATTGGAAGTTCACACGAAGGAAAAGCACAGAAATTTAGAAAAACGCCTTATTTTTAAATGTTCAGAGTGTGCGTTCAAAGCTCCATGTGGCATCAATTTGTCTAATCATTTGGCAACTGTGCACCAAATAGGGGTAAAATTAATTCAGTGTGAAAAGTGCCCAGCCACTTTTGTAAGCGATCTTGGCTACAAAAGACATGCTCATACAAGACATAACTTTAAAAAATGTCTTCATTGCAATACAGAAATTTTAATGCTGTCTTTTTCTCAACATACCACTGCCGTTAAGTGCTTAAAATGTAACGCTGAATTTAATTGTCGAGGTTTGTTGAATGTGCACAAACTTCAATTTGCTTGCTGCAAAACCAAAGAATTTTCTCACAAGTCGGAAGTTGTGCTGAAAAAAATGTTTAGTTATGTAGATGACCAAAGCCAAAAGAAACTTCAGTGCAATATGTGCCTTCGCACCTTTGTGACCCGCAGTGGTTTTGACTACCATTTTCTTACAGCTCACATTAAAAGTGAGCACCGATCACTACAAATATTTAAATGTGCTCACTGTGATGCGGTGTATACGCATAAATCAAACATTAGAAACCACCTGGCAACGAAGCATAATTTGATTGATGGGAGGTATCATTGCCAAAATTGTAAAATGAGTTTTTTCCTCCAGAAAAACTTAAAGGAGCACAACCTCAAAACACAATTCAACTGCAAAAATGAAATCGAATGTGCTACTTGTAAAAAATTTATTAATAGAGATTTGTTGTCAAAGCATGTCTTTTTGGAGCACGGCCTAGCGCAGTGAAATTTGAATCAATCAAGATCTTAATTATATAAATCATTTAAATGTAAATAACATGATATGTTTGATGGCTCTAGCGGCCGGTACGCTCTCTTTCGAAGGAGAGGGTCCTGTGCTTTAGCAAGTTGTTTGCCAACGAAAAGCCATTTCTCCATTCACCCTTCACCCCTAACAGTATGTCTCTTTTAAAATGTATTTTCAGCTTTTTCTGTACTTTTTCTGTATAGTTTTTTATGCTGTATTCATGACATGACTGTATCGAATGGAGAATAAAAAAAAAAATCATAACAAATATCAGTCAAAGTAGAAATCCTTGTGCATTATTTTTTATCCTTCTCTAAGCACCAGCATTTTTTCTCAACTTACAATTAGCATACAAATCGCCTTATTAAATTTAAAAAAAAATCTAATTGGCAACTTCAGACCTGGGAGAATAGACTCATTTTCTTTGAGAAGAAACTACTATGTAATCTTATAAAATTAAATAAATTTAATGATTTATTTGTGTTAAAACACGGATAATTTAACAAGAAAAAAAGAATATTGTGACAAAGACTTAATAAAAAAATTGCATTCTGAACCGCTGACAAAGCTGTAATTTTGTAATATAAAATATATTTATGAAAATAAATTTAAGTGAAAACTAAAAACCTTAATTTCTACATTATAAGAAACGGTCTTGTTTTCTTATTTACAAAAATTTATTTTGATGAAATACCAATTATCCTAAAAAAAGGTTAAACAGTTTGATCCATTAAAATTAGTTAAATTAATTTGTTGCGGCAGTCACTAGATGAAGATCCTGCCAGTAATTCAAGAATTATTGCGCTTCTTAAAAACTGCTGCTAAAACTGCATTTATTTAAAAATTGTAATAAAAACTTCAATTCTATATCTTACAAACATGGCTCGTTTTCTTTTACAAATCCATATGTCTATGCATTTCACTATTGTGCAGCTAGAGTGACTGAGGCGTCGCTAACTTGTTGAAACTAACACGCATGCTGCTTTCGCGCTTTTCAACCAAACCAAAAGAGCTCCCTCTGCTTATAACTTCACGGACTCACCTGCAACTGCAGCTACTGCAGCTAAGTGCAATCTGAGAGGGGAAAGGGCTGAAAGGTAATGTAAACATAAACATCACACATGCCTCCAGAGTTGTGCCGTCTTTGCGAGCGGCCTGCGGCCGACGGCGGCCTTCGGGCGACAGAGTTGGACTTGGAAAAGCTGACCAAGTGGTGTTTGGTCAACTTGGGCACAACTTTGACCGGCGGAGTGAAGGGCGACGACCTCTTTTGCTGTTTCTGCGTTTGGGACGCAAAGTAAGAATATTATTTCTCTTTTATTAAAAATTCAACTATTATAATCCATTTTTTTAGATTTCAATTTGAGAATGAAGCTCAAAATAATGATCTTCAATGGTGGACGCAGTTTGATACCGGAAAAGATAGGATTCTGTTCGAAGCATCCTCGAGTGAGTTTTTGTTATTTTTAATTTTAATACATTTTACTAAAATCTAAATTTTTAGAGGGGCTTGTGCAACAGAGTTGGGTGTCATTGGAGAAGATAAAACTAAACAATGAAAAGGGCGAAGAATCAAATTTGAATCAGGATCGCGGCTCTGGAAAAAAATGTGTTTACTGTAATAAGAATATTAGAAGCATGTATCATCATATAAATACTTGGCATGCAGATATTGCAATCAAATGCAACTTCCATAGAAATTGTGCCAATTATTTTAAAAGCTACAATCTTAGAGATGCCCACATTAAACAGGTTCATTTAAAGCCAAAAGTAAAAAGAATCATGGACTGCATTTACTGCTCGAAAAAGAACTTGAAGCTGAGAGATTTATACATGCACATGCGAGAAAATCATTCCGAAATTGCCATTAGGTGTAAAGTTCCGTATTGTGTATCATATTTTTTATCAAAGGTCGAGTTGGAAGTTCACATGCAAGAAAAGCACAGAAATTTAAATAAAAACCATAAATTTAAATGTTCAGAGTGTGCGTTCAAAGCTCCATGTAACGTCACTTTGTCTAATCATTTGGCCACGGTGCACCAAATAGGGGTAAAATTAATTCAGTGTGAAAAGTGCCCTTCGACTTTTGTAAGCGATCTTGGCTACAGAAATCATGTTTATTCCAGACATAATTTTAAAAAATGCTTTCATTGCAATACAGAAGTTTTAGGGCTGTCTTTTGATCAACATACTACTGCGGTTGAATGCTTGAAATGTGAGCTTAATTTTAACTGCCGTGGTTTGCTCAAGATTCACAAACAGGAACACCACAGCCGTAATTTCAAAGTTTTGTCTCAGAATTCTCAATATTTGTTTAGAAGGTACAAACGAAAAATGTTCAAGTGTGTTGTTGACAAAGGTAACAGGAAAATATTTCAGTGTAAACTCTGCCCCTCCTCTTTTTTGACCGTTAATGGTCATCAAAGGCACGTTCAAAGTATTCACCTCAGTCATATATACAGGTGTGACCACTGCAGTGCAGAATATTGGCACAGTTATAATATGAAAAATCACCTTTCGATGAAGCACAACCTCATTGACAAAAAGTACAAGTGTGAAAAGTGTAATTTGAGTTTTTTCATGTTTAAGAATTTCAGGGAACACCAGCAAAAGACAAAATTTAACTGCGAGAATAAAGTTAAATGTGAAATGTGCAATGAATTGATTTATCGACCATCTCTGCCCACACACATGTTCATTAAACATGGCATTTCCAAAGCATCGTGAGCTATTTAAATTTTAAATTGAAAATTTGTGTTTCATCAAAAAATTGTAATCAATCACAGTGAAATTTGCGAGCCAATAAATTTCAATACAAAAATCATTTGTACATAACATGACTGTGTGTAATAAATATCTGATGAAGTAGGAAATTTTATGCATCAGTTCATTTTAAATCCTGTAGCACCAGCATTTCTTAAGTAGAAATTCTCATGCATTATTTTTATCTTCCTCTTAGCACCAGCTAATTTGGCATGCAAACTCTAAATATTTTTTGGTTTGAAAAGAAAAATGTTATTGCCAACTCCTGACCTGAGCGAATAGAATAATTTTCTTTGTGATTAAACTACAACGACAACTTTTAAAATTAAATAAATTCAATGATTTATTTGCGTTATACTCCGAAAACTTAACAACAAAAAATGATTTATAGGGGAAAACTTAATTAAAAAATTGTATCCTGAACCGCACAAATAATTATAATTTTGTTATGTGAAATTTATAAGAAAAATTTAGAGTGAAACCTAGAATCCTTTTTCTATTTTTTAAGAAAATAGGGTCTTGTTTTTATGTTTGTACAAAAATTAATTTTGAAATACGGTAATAACAATTATCACTGAAAAAAATAGTTTGTTCCTATTCAATAATTATTCAATTAATTGTTGCGGCAGTGAAGATCCCAGTAATTCAAAAATACTATCTGCTAATCTGCTAAAATTGCATTTATTTAAAATTGTAATGGAATCTTAAATGCTGAATCTTACTACAGGCATAGCTCGTTTTCTTTTACAAATCAATTCCATTTCACAATTTGTGCAGCTGCACTAGCTGCAGCTAGACTGAGGCGTAGCTAACTTGTGGAAACAAACGTCCATGCACGTCCATGCTGCTTTCGCGCCGTTCAACCAAACCAATTAAAAGAGCTCCCTCTGCTCGTAACATCATCGAATCACCACCTGCAACCTGGAGCCCCTGGAGATTGCCCTGGAGCAACAAGCCCTGGAGGATTAAGAAATCTAACAATGCAAGCAAGCAGCAAGGTAGATGTAAACAAAAACATCACATATGCGTCCTGAATTGTGCCGTCTTTGCGAGCGGCCAGCGGCCGACGGCGGCCATCGGGCGACAGAGTTGGACTTGGACAAGCTGACCAAGTGGTGTTTGGTCAACTTGGGCACAACTTTGACCGGCGGAGTGAAGGACGACGACTTCTTTTGCTGTTTCTGCGTTTGGGACGCAAAGTATTAATTTTTTTTTTTATTGAATATTCAACTAATCAAATTTTTCAGATTTCAATTTGAGAATGAAGCTCAAAATTCAAATGGAAATAATGATCTTCAATGGTGGCCTTCTGTTGATCCAGGAAACAATAAGATTTTGTTTGAAACATACTCAAGTGAGTTTTCTTTTACAATTTTTATTACATTTTACTAGATTCTAATTTTTAGAGGGTCTTGTGCAACAGAGTTGGGTGTCATTGGAGAAGATAAAACTTAACAATCCAGAGAGCGAAGAGTCGGTTTTGAAAGAAGAAAACCGCGGACAAAAATGTGTATACTGCAGGAAAACTTTTAAACAGTTATTTTATCATATAAAAAGAAATCATGCGGATATTGCGATTAGATGCAACTACAATAAACATTGTGTCACTTACTACAAAAGCTACAAGCTTAGAGATGCCCACATTAAAGAGGTTCACTTAAAACCAAAAGTAAAAAGAATCATGGACTGCATTTATTGCCCAAAAAGGAACTTGCAGCTGCGAAATTTATACACGCACATGCGAGAAAATCATTCCAAAATTGCTATTAGATGTAAAGTGCCAAATTGTGTAATTTATTTCTTGACAAAGGAGGAGCTGGAAGTTCACACGAAGGAAAAGCACAGAAATTTAGAAAAACGCCTAATTTTTAAATGTTCAGAGTGTGCGTTCAAAGCTCCATGTGGCATCAATTTGTCTAATCATTTGGCAACTGTGCACCAAATAGGGGTAAAATTAATTCAGTGTGAAAAGTGCCCTTCCACTTTTGTAAGCGATCTTGGCTACAGAAGGCATGTTTATACCAGACATAATTTTAAAACATGCCTTCATTGCAATACAGAAGTTTTAATGCTGTCTTTTGCTCAACATACCACTGCAGTTAAATGCTTGAAATGTGAGCTTGATTTTAATTGCCGTGGTTTGCTCAAGAGTCACAAACAGAAACACCACAGCCATAATTTCAAAGCTGTGTCTCAGAATTCTAACTTTTTGTTTAGAAGGTACAAACGAAAAATGTACAAGTGTGTTATCGACAAAACTAACAGGGAAATATTTCAGTGCAAACTCTGCCCCAGCTCGTTTTTGTCAGTTATTGGTCACCAAAGGCATTTTAAAAGTATTCACCTCAGTTATAAATATAGGTGTGGCCACTGTAGTGCAGAATATTGGGGCAGGGATAATATGAAAAATCACCTATCGATGAAGCACGACCTCATCGACAAAAATTATAAGTGTGAAAAGTGTAATTTGAGTTTTTTCCTGCTTAAGAATTTCAGAGAACACCAGCAAAAGACAAAATTTAACTGCCAGAATACAGTGAAATGTGGAGTTTGCAAAGAATTAGTATATCGACCAACCCTATCAAAGCACATGCTCATTGAACATGGCGCTGCGTAAGCACCATATGTTAAATATTTGTGACCTTTATTTGATTTCGGCTGATAAACTTAAGAAAAATTGTAGTAAAAATCTTTTTACATTAGTTCATGTATAATCCTTTGTTGTTATATTCATTTTATACATTTAGTAGAAGTAAAGAGATTCAAGATCTATCTTTTGCCTCAATAATAATATAAAAAATAACAAAAGCTCCTCTAATTTCAGTACATGATTTTGCAAAATAAATTATAATTTGTATTTTTAATAAATAATTTTTTAAATCGTTTAAATCTCATTAACATGAATTTTAATTACCATAAATTTTAAATGCCCGAATTATCTTTTAAATAATTGTATAACTAATGTGCACTCTTCTTGTTTGATGTAAAAGTTTTGGCTGTGTATAAGCAACAGTTTTACTCTCATTGTAAGATGAGACACAGCGGTGTTAAATTGGAAATTTCAGTGGAGGGGGGAATGAAAATATATATATATATATATATATATATATATATATATATTTTTATAATTATATATATAATTTTAAATTTTAATAAAAAAAAAACACCTCAGTTTGTATATGTAGTAAATAAATTTATAAACATTATTAGAGACTTTTGAATTATATTTTTCCATCTTATGCTAAACAAACCCTAGATAAAAGTATCTCTATTTCAAATTAATCACAATAGCAATGTCTGATTTTGATTGGCCGCACGCAAAGTCAGGAATTTAAATTTGAACGTTAAAGCGTGAAGCTTTTTCAATCACACCCCTCTGCCTTATTATTTATATAGAGCGGTGCGTCCCTCCACTTTTTACTGGGCCACGGGGGTAAAAAAGCAATCTCGGCCAATTTAATCGGTTCGCCTTTTCTAGCCGAGTCTCTTTCAACTCGCTTGCTCCACACAAGTTAATTTGGCCTGCTCTTGCAAATTGTTAATTTCCTGCTGCTGGATGACGGCCTGTTGGCCGGCCGGCGAGTGAAGCATCGCGTCACAAAGAGCTGCTGCGGGCTGCATAGCGCACAGGGGCATCAAACAACGCGCAGCTGGATAACCTAATTGCACTTGGTGTGCGTGGCAGACCGGGTCAAAGGTCGAAACCCATGCACTATCTCGGCCTCCAATCAGCGCTTTCATTGTCCGCGGCCGATCTAATTACCATATCAATTGCCATGAACATGCAATAAAACAAGCTCTTGCTTTCTAAAGGTTCGCAATTTTGATCGTCTTTAAAATTGAATTAATTTATTATTAAAATCAAATTCTGTTAAGATTACTTATGAAATTAATTTAAAATTAATGTGCAACTAAATTAAATTTTGGCAAAAAAAAATTGCAAAAAATTTAAAAAAGGCCACAAAATAATTAAAAATGAAGCCTCTTAATTAATATTGAATTGTTTCAATAAATTAAGGAGTGAATTAAAAACATTAAAAGACTTTCTACCAATGCGTATAGTGATTATTTCCAGAATATTTACTTTCTATATATATACAATTTTAATGTATTTTACTCTCATAGGTTTTTTAGCAATTAATTTTTTTGAAATTTTTCAAAGTATGGAGTTTGTGCTGCTGATTCGCGTCAACATAGTCGACCTGATTGAACGGCTGATTGATTGATTGTTTGATTAAATTGGTGAGCGCAAATCGAGTCTGGTCGCGAGGTTGGTGCCTCTCTTGATCCCAGCATATATTGCTTTGGTTCCAAGCGAGCCCGACATTGTCCATCGACAGCTCTCCTTTGTCGCGCCACTGTCACGCCTGCTTTCCAATAGACCGCGCGCCACACAGGCTGACTTTAATTAATTGAATGAGGGAGCAAAATGTGTTGCGAAAAAGTCATAAAGAAAAATAACAGCAGCCAGAAAATTACTCCATAAAATTTTTCAATATCGAGTTAATGCAAGAGAAGTATCCGATAATACCAATTTTCTTCTGTTTGAAAATATAGTATTACATAAAGTAACAGTAATTAATATATTATTATTTCCACAAATTACAATTTTTTAATTTGCAATCACATACAATATAATGAATTTTCTCTCAAATAAATACGTAAAACTTTTAGCTTTCATCATTATTATAAAAACAAGCGCTAAAGCGCTTGCGTTAAACGCAAGCATTTTCGGAATGTTGTTGTGGGACTCCATTTTTAATTTTACTTTTTAATTTTAAATTTTAATTAAATCGGAGAAAAAGAAAGAAAATAAGGTTTAAAACGAGAAAAACGAGAAAAAAAGGTAAAAATCAGCGTAAAGAATCAATTTGGAACACTCTATAGGCAATAAGTTGAAGGGTGGAAGGTCAGGGAACGCGCGGGAAACCCGCGCGAGTCGAATTGGCCAGAAAGTTGCGAAATCGGCCAGAGTTTACGCCAACGAACCCTCCGTAGGAGTTAACGAAGCGTCGGCTTGGTGCAAAAAGCGCGGGAAACTAGGGGGGGGGGGTAGTCGTCTCCAAAGTAATCAAAACCCCCTCAAAGTTGGCATTGGAACACCCTACACAGGCGCCACAACCCGCGGGAACCTGCAAACCGCGCGGGAAACCCTCGGGAGAAAGTTATCTTGAATGAAATAAAAAACCAACAGAGTCATCATTGGAACACCCTGTAGTGGGCATTCAACCCGGGGCCTTGGGGAACCCGCGTGGACCCCTTGGTTTGTAAAAGCCTTGAAAACTTTCAAAAGATTTCAAAGTTTGCTTTGGAACACCCTAGACCGGGGAATTACCCCTCCTTGACTTGGTTACCCATCGAAAGATCCTTGGTTTCAACGTACTCGCGTGCCCCTTAAAAAATTTCCAATGTTCATTTTGGAACACCCTGTACTGGATAATTACCCCTTATTTAATTGCACACCCTTGTGGAACCCTTAAAAGCATGTCTCCTTCAAAGGAATGAAAAGTCCTCAAAGTCAGCATTGGAACACCCTAGCGACGTCAGCCCTTCCGCGTGAACTTGCGAAACGCGCATGGAACCCTCGTGGTTGTATATCGCTTTTAAGCTTTTAAATTTTGTTAAAGTTCGCTTTGGAACACCCTATAGTGGATAACTAACCCTTATTTTCTTGCAGATGCCGCGTGAAACCGTAGGGCACAATTTATTTGAAACCTCTTAAAAAGATTTTGAGGCCCATTTTGGAACACCCTTTACCTAATAATTACCCGTGATTTACATGCGAACCCCTCGTGAAATCGTCGCTTGTAATTTACTGAAACGCCCCTGAGAAATTTTCATAGTTTGTTTTGGAACACCCTATACTGGGCAACCTTCCCTCATGAACCTTGAAACCCCTCGCAAGCCCCACGATGTTAATGTACTTGAAAGTCTTACAAAATTTTATTGGTTTTGTTTTGGAGCTCCCTATACTGGGCAATTGGCCCCTTAGCACTTGCAAAACCGATATGAAACCCTTGGTCATAAATATTTTTTTGCCCATAAAAAATTAGCATGTTAACTTTGGAACACCCTAGAATGGGCCATGATCCTTAATTTACGTAAGAAATGCCCATTAATTGTACAGCGTAATTAATTGGAAAGTTTGAAAAAAATTTAATAGTTAGCTTTGGAGCACCCTGTAGCAGCATCGTAGCGCGTGTGATTTTAACCCGCGGGAAACACATTGGAACGCGCGCGTCTTTGCCGCGACCACGGGAAAGACGGCCGTGCCATTTGAATTGAATTAGTAAAAAAAGTTTAAAATTAAATTTGGATCACCCCATGGTGGTCAGAGATGGCGCGTGCAATTGTATGACACGGGGGAATAAATTGTGCGCATATTTTTTTCAATGTAAATGCAAATCAGTAGAAATGTGCTTTGAAAAATCTGAAACAAAAAATTAACACGGGCGCGTTGGTGAAAGCAGCGGAAAGTTCCACCGTGTCAATTTATTTTAAAAATTCTGCTGACTCTAACTCTTTATGTATTTTCCAACCGCAATTGACCTTATTCGGCCGCGGGTTATGAATTTCGGCTCGGGGGCCACTGGGGGGCCGCCTTGGGCCAGCGGCGATCAGTGCGTCTCATCGCGAGCGAAAACGCGTGTTAAATCCCTTGAGCCGAATTTTTTGCTGAAAAATCGGCAACTCGGCCTCGGCGGGCCCGGGCGACCCCTTGAAAAATCCGCCCAAAAATTAGCTTCATTATGTTTTTTAAAAATCGAAAATCCGTCCAGTAGAACGCGCGCGGCGGCCTCGCGCGTTTGCTATTTTGCCCCATAAGAATAACACAGGCCGCGAGTTATCAAATCGTCGGACGAAACTCGGACGCGCCGCATTTTAATGTTAAACCTCGGAACCCCGCGATTCATGCATTTTGCATCCGCCGCGGGCGGAATTAGGCCGCCAGGGCCTAATTTCACCTCGTGGGGTCAGTGGGGGCCGTCGGGGGCCCGCGGCGGCCGTTCCGACCCTTGCCGAGCGCAAACACATGTAAAATCCCATAAGCCGAGAATTCGCATAAAAATTGTGAAGAAACACCCATTTATGCATTTCACCACCGCCGTGGGCCAAATTCGGCCGCGGGTGACGAATTTCGGCCCCGGGGACCGCGGGTGGGCCCGCCTCGAGCGACCCGATTCGAGCCGAGCGAAAACCCATGTTAAATTCCATAAGAAAAAATTTTAGCGGAAAAATCGGCAATTCGACCCCGGCGGGGCCGGGCGACCCCTTGAAAAATCGGCCCAAAAATTAGGTTCATTTTGCTTTTTAAAAAACGAAAATCCGTCCAGTAGAACGGCCGCGGCGGCATCGCGCGTTTGCTTTTTTCCCCCATAAGAATAACACAGGGCGCGAGTTGACGAAGCGACGGACGAAACTCGGAGGCGCCGCGTGTTAATAAAATCCCCCGGAACCCCGCGATCTATGCTTATTTCATCAGCGGCCGGCCGAATTCGGCCGCGGGTGACGAATTTCGGCCGTTGGACCGCAGGTGGGCCGCCGTGGGCCCGCCTGGAGCGACCCGATTCGCGTCGAGCGAAAACCCATGTTAAATCCCATAAGAAATGATTTTTGCCGAAAAATCGGCAATTCGGCCGCGGCGGGTGTGGGCGACCCCTGGAAAAATCGGCCCAAAAATTAGCTTCATTTTGGTGTGCGAAAAACGAAAATCCGACCACGGGAACGGCCGCGGCGGCCGCCGGCGTCTGCTCGCCCGTTCTCCCATAAGAAAAGCATTGGAAGGTCGTTTTGCATAAATCGCAAAAGCCTAAGGCTTTTTTGCTATGGGAATGCGACCCATGGTCCTATGGTGATTCGGACGCGTCTCGCAAAGGCGCACAACTCTCTGGATGTACTTTTTTCGATTTTTGACTTTTTGCAATGTAATTTCTCAAAAAAAACCGGTTTTTTCACCCTTTGGAGGGCCGCCATACCGCCAAAAAAAATCGGAAAAATCGAGTCTACCCGGGAAATTGTAGCGCACAGACGGGCTAAAACGCCCTGGGATCCGCTGTTTCTATGGATTTTTTTATGTCAGCCGTTTTCGCACTTGAATGCGAAAAAAATGCGTTTTTTTGCGAATTTTCAGAATTACCCTGAATTTAAGGTGGGAAGGAGTGCCGTGAGCGAAAAACGGACAATGACGTCTAATTAGCAAATTTAATCGCGCGTCGAACGGTGCCCACGCCAACCTTCTCGCTCGGGTAGGTACCGAGCAGTAAAGCGCGAAAGCCGAAAAGACGTATTTGGGCCGCGCGGGCCCGGCGGGGCCCAATCCGGAAATCGGGCCGATACGGGTCGTTGAAATGGGGTGCCCTACCGGGTGATACGGCGCTGCGCGGCAAAACAGTCGAGAAAGAAAAGTGCGACTTGGTATTATAGGGTTAGAAGATAAAAAAAAGCGAGAGACATTTGATTTTGAATCTCATTTTAATTATACACCGTATGGCATTATCTATATCAAATTTAATTTATTGAACCTGGATTTCAAGAACTTAAAGCTTTTTAATTGGAATCTATTAACTCTTTCTATGGTGACCTAAAATTATATCATTTTTTTGTCTTGAAAACACTGCCAAAAATAAAAAATTAAGGCATTTTTTAAGGTTTTGATTGCTTAATTCCAAGGAGCATCTCCAGCAGAACCTGAATATTTGAACCTTTTTCTTTCATTCAAAACCACATAAATATTTGGCATAGAGAATAAAAAATTTTATGGCGCACCAATAAAATGCTCTCGCAGAGGAATAAAAAATATATTTATTTCTCTCTTATTTAACGCGTGGGCGGTCTGTTCGTTCCATATAATCTCGAGTGAGTGCGGTGCGTGTTTTTGTGACGCAATAAAAAGCGAGGAAGAAAGAAAGAAAGAACGGTCTTCCTTTTATATTGCATCGGACAGCGAAGACTTAATCCGCGACGGCAAAACATAGCGTATGAGAAAAAGGCCGGGAAATAATTCGCTGCGAGGGTGGAAAAGAAAGAAGAAAGACACTTGTTGCTCGGAATGGCGTGTGTCAAAAACTCCTTGTCGGTTTAGTGAGCAGAGACCTCCGAAAAGTGCGAGGGGCCATCGGAAGATGAGCAGCCTCAAGCGGCGGCCGCACGCACTGGTGCCCCTGGTGACACGTGGTGGGGAGGGACAGAGGTCATCATCACCAGCAGCGCCCCCTCCCATCTCGGTGCTCTGCTTTCAGCTCTTTCTGGCAGCGGCAGTTTGGAATCCAGCGGCGCTCCTCCGAACGCTCCACCGAAATATTAGGTAAACTTTCAATTTTGATTTTTTTATTATAAATTTAAATTACTTTCGGAGAGGAAGAAATTTTATATCATTCAAATTCGTCTCATTTTCGAAACGAGTGATTTAAAAATCTTTGGTTATTTCCAATCATTAAAATCTATGCTCCAGTTTTTACATCAATTTAATAGTTTTCGTAAGATTTCCAACAACAAAACTAATTGCATGTTATTATTATCCACTGTGACCTTCGTTTATCTGGCAACATGGTTCTCATCCTAGAAAAATAACGCTGATCGTTGGCATAAATATTTATTAAATTATCCCATCCGTTTATAATCTCTCGGTGCACTTGCAGCGGATAATTCATAACCTCCCACTGTCTGATTATTTTTAGTCGGGTCCCGCGTGTGCGCTCCAGATTCGCTCATAAAATCAGCTAGCCGATAGGTCCACACACTTCTCTTCTCCACGGCAAAGTGCTTATTTATATCCAGCCAGGTTTATATATTATTCATCACTGCCCAGAAAGGGACAGTTCAAATAAATAAGTCGTTCATCGTTATCCAATGCAAATTTATCGACGGAAATTGCGCGACTCTTCAGTTCGCGAAGTGGGAGAGGAAAGTTCTTGTTGTTATTTACGAGTGGAGCAGCCGCGAGCTGCTGCTTATCATTGAGTTTTTTTTCTGCGGAACCGCTTTTAAATGTTGCGCCGCGGTTCCCATCGTGCGCGCGGCAACGGTCCCATTATTACAATCCCCCTTCTTTCTGCTTAGGTTGGGTTCGACCTTGGCAACCGAATTTCGGGAGGGTCCCCCCGCGAGATGAAAATTTTCAGCCGCCGTGTCCGTAATGGGGTTTTAATTATGATGCATTTCTCTCGGCGGGTGCAAGAAGTGATTTACACGCGGCGCCAAAGGGTTGCTAAATTAATTTGGCGCGCGGAAAATTTTAATCAGGGAAATATAATTTACGAGGTGCTCACTGGTTTTGTAATTTGTAATTCATCTGGTGGGTCAAGAAAATATAATTAGAGGAATAGTTTTGTAGAATAAAGGACATGTAAGAGATAGCTGGATTTGTATGTTAGACAGAATATATCAATAAAAACGTTTTGGTCGTATACACAATAATATGTACCAAAAATTTATTAATATTTACTTGTAAAAATTTTTATTTTAAATTTGTAAATCCTAATTAAGTCAATAATGTTAAAATTACAAAATAAACAAATATAATTTTACAATTTTAATAATAAATATAATTTAATAAAAATGTAAAAAGAGCAAATAAATAATTTGCTAATTTTTGTTTGGTACTTGTAATGTTTTATTTTCTTTTGTTTTTTACTTGTTTTAATACAGATTTTTTTCAAATGTACTTATTGTTAGTAGTGAAAATTACAATAATGATATATTTTTATTATTTAATTTGAAATCTTATCATATTATTATTGTATCTTGAAAATTGTCCTGCGGTAATTCACATCTCAAGTATTCACGTCACTACAGTGCCAAAAACTAAAGCGACCTTTGACCAATGACGAATATTAACCCCTCTGCCCGGCTTACTGGTTAGTCTCGATCCAACTAAAAGCAAACAGTTGACAAACTGCAAACAACCGGACAAAAGGCACCATTCGGCGCTCGCCGTGATTAACTTCTCTCCAAAGCCAAAGTGGACCCGAAAGCCCAATAGCTTTGGCATGTTAGTTTTATGCTTTCGCAATAATTGACGTGTTCACAAAACAAACAAGCCACGCTGATTAAAGGGAGAGCCAGATGCATTTTGAATAAATGCACCTTGGCCTAAAATCCTCCAGATGGATTTTGGAATTATAAGTAAAACCGACGCGTGGTGCACTGCGACGGGATGGAACCAGTTTTGGCTAGCAACGTTTTTTCTCTCTCTCTCTCTTCTCGTTCAAGCAAGCAAGAGGCGTTTTTATTAAAATATAAATTTGCTTTTATTCAAATCAGAGCACATTCAGGAGCCGGTTTCCGTGTGGTGCGAAATTCGCGTATGGAAAATTTAAACAAGACAAGATCTGGTTTTGCGTCTTGCTTATGCGGTTTTGAGCTCACGAGAGTAAAATGAGAAGGTCAAATGCGTGGAATGGGGATAATTATTTTTATCAGAATGCATTTTCGCCGGCAGTTGCACATAATTGGCGTGTTTCCTTGGGAATTTGGCTCCTTTCTAGCGGAAACCTTGCGGATTTTAAGAAACACAAAAAAACGATCGTCTAATGTTTCTTATTTCGTCCATAAATGAGAAATATTATATATTCAACTCTTATCAATCTTTAAAAGAAAACGTCATTTCATTTTGTACACAATTTATATGTCTTATTTATTTTAATTTATAAATGATTTTTATTTCTTTAGCTAGGCAAATTAAATGCCTCAAAATACAGGGCAAATTTATACATAATTTTATTTCATCAGCTTTTTTTATAGTTGAATAAATTTTTTGGGCGGCCTTATTGTCACAATAAAATAAATAAACAGATGCCTTCAAAATTATTTTAAATTTTAATTCTATCTCATTCTTAAAAGTCTCATAATTTCCTTACACGCGGACCTGACGTGAACCCTTTTAAAACTTGTGCAAAGTACATTGTGGAAATGAATGTCGTGATAATGTTATCACCACAGGACAAATCTGTGTTCTGAAAAAGTTATTTTTGATGTTATCTTTATTCACAATTGAAACAGATTTTCCCTTGAGCAGACAAAACGCAATCTTGATCGAGTGATTTTGCTGTGATTGCCTTCAAGTACACTTAAGTGCAGTTTAAATACGGAGGTACTCTAAATTTTCCGGCAATAATTGAACGGAATTCAAGCGTGAATTTTACTTTATTTAATATTTTTTTTTCTTTAAATGGCCATTTGACAGCAAATTATCTCAAAAGAGAGCTAAGCCACACACACTCTTGTCTAGGATCTGAAATTCCTCTTGGGTACGCCTTAATTGATACAAACCCGTTTTTCGCGCCGTACCGATGGTGAAAGTTTCTATGCATGTTATTCGGATTTGAGTTTTTTTTCTTCCTATAAGATGCTGCGGACGATCGCATTTTGATAAGTAGGACACACTGACCGAGAGCCTATTTCATTTCGCAGGTTGATTCAAGATGGATGAGTCGTACTGGAGAAAACCAAAGCCGAAGAAGTCGGTGTGGCTCAGTTTCAAGCTTTTCATCCATGACCCTTCAAAAAACAAGTTTTTCGGCCGAACGCCTTCCAGTTGGGGTGAGTTTTGAAATACTTTAGCTAAGAAAGTTTGAAATGAAAAATGACGTAATGGGTTAGATGTAAAGAAGGAAATTAGAACAATTAATAGCGATTTAATAAATTAAATAAAAAGATCTGTCCCTTAAATAATTTAGCTTTTTTAGCGGCTGCTCTTTAATTGAGTGCTTTTTATAGCATAGAGCCAATTCTCCATTCAGCCAGCATCAATTACACAACATAACTCTCATTACTAGTGAATTTCAAAATTTTGCTTTTTCATCGACTATGAAAGATTTGATGTGAGATCACTGTACTTGAAATGTGGCGATGATTGAAGTATTTAAAATTTAAATTATATATATAATATAAATTATGAAACGGCCTGGTTCTAGAAATAAGCAACTTAAATTGACTTTTCTCACCTATTAACGTTGAATTGATATCACACAATTAAATAAATAATTCAAATATAAAATAACTTTTAATATTTCAGATTTCTATTTTTTTTAACTAAAAAATATTAAAACCATAAAAAATAAGAAAAATTTTATTAAAATAATTTTTAATAACTATTCATAATATCAAAAAACAAAATATTTCAAGAAAATATTCATTCTTGGGCAAATAAACTTTAAAGTAATTATTTTAATTTCTAATTATAAAATTTATAACCTGATTTTGTAAATTGCATTTTACTTTATTTCTTTCTAATTTTAACATTATCATTTCTCACATCAATACATTTTAAACTGCTTAAAAGACAGTTAATTTTGAATTATTCCTACATTGAAATTTTATTTCATAATAATTCATAGTATGTGTGTCTATTTTGGTGTTAATTCTGAAAATACACCTAGACTGAGTAGACCATTGTATTGATGCAGTTTTGATGGCACATTATTTGTATCGATTGCATGATAAATAATAGTGAATCGCGCGGACGTTCACGTGCACAGACACGATCGCTCCTTCAACAGGTGCCCCGCGTGTTGGTTTCCCGAATTAAAATTGCGCCGTCGCGAGTTCGGCGCCGCAAAACCGGAGGGCGCCATCGGTACCTCACTCAGGTATTTCGAAAAATTAGCATTGAACATAAATCTCTGGAGAAAAAGTGAGTAGGCCAGTGGGCAATACTATACTATATCATCGCACTGACCCTATATGTGGTACAGAGAGCTCGCATTAAATTAATGTATTTCATTTTTATAGGCGACGGGAAGTCACTTGTTAATTCAGAGTTGGCATCGCTGCGCTCTGCTCTCTATATATCTCTACTCGCTATATTGATAAAAGACGTCACCGTCATTATTGCCGCTACTTAAAATATCAGGGCACCCATTTGAAGATGCTCGGCCGCCGGGGCCACCAATTACGAACAGTGCACTGCATTCATCTAATGCCACTGGCGACCACGACTGCTCTTGCAACACCCGTTTGACGACTCGCTCGAGATCTGCACACACTGAAAGATGCCGCTGCTGTGCCACTTCTCTTTCTATTGTCAATTATTTTTGCAGACGCGCCCGATCGTTTGCTGTCCCCATAACGCCAGAAAAGCAGATCTTCAACGCCGCGATTAATTCAGCAATAATTTTTGCAGCTTGGCAAATTTGAAATTAACATTAATTTATATTAAATTAACACAATTATCTAAAAATGATATTTTCAATGAACATAAAAATTACAAAAATTTTAAATTAAGTAACAAATTAATGGCCTAATCTGGGCCTAATTAAGAAAATTGACGCTTTATAAGTATTTTAATAAAAAAAATATGTTTAATTTTCTATTTTTTCTGAAGATTTAATACAGCTATTTTTAATAACTGGTTTTTCAATTATCAATTAGCAATCAATTAAAATGACAATTAACGAAAAAAATTCAAGTACTTGAAAATCAAAAACTTTTTTATCTTTTCAATTTTAACTTCTTAGATGTCCGTTTCAATAAAACTGCCCCTGAGATATTACAATTTTTACAGAAACAATTACATATTTAAACATGTATTTCTTTTTTAATTTTTTATTTCTTTCTGTTTTGTTAATATTTGCTCCTTAAACTTTACACAGCAACCACTTTTATTGGCCATGAGATTTAACAACTACAGAACTACAGATATAATTGTATCATTTAAAGCACTAATGAGTGATAATTTTAGTAACGCTTAACTTCATTAATTAAAGGTAAAAAGTTATCTAATTTTAGGCAAAGATTAATGCCCATGAATTAAGACCAGCGCATAATATATGATATATAATCCAATTATCATTTCATTGCAAAACCGTTAAAACTGCCGAAACAGACTCAAATTGATAATTTAAAGTAAAGATAAAATGTGCCGCTCAAATGAGATCAAAATAATTAATATTGAAAATTATTTATCAGCTATTCAATAATTAAATTCGAACATTTTCTTCCTTAAAATTACAAATTAATGCAGTCACAACTTTTAAGCTGTTTTAAGCTAAAGTTAATTTTAAAAAATCTGGTTATTTTCTATTTATTCTGAAAATTTCACTGCGCACTTTTTGTCAGTCTTTAGTCTTTATAAATTAATACGTTGCATAATATATGGAAGTTTAGAGCATTCTATTAGCACACACCTTGGTCACGGCCAGATTTTCGGTCAAACCATTTGCCAAAGTTCTACTGAAAAGAGCTCTTTGACTGCGGTTCTTTGTGCGTGGGGGATGTTTATTTCGAATAGTTTTACCCCTTAACCTCTCTTTCTTTGCTATTTTTAATGAGAAAGAATTAAAACACGCGACCGAGAGCGAGTCAAGAAAGAGCGACTATAGGCTGCAACTCGCGTGCAAATTCTCAGTCCGACGAATAAATCTTGTACATAAAAAACAAAAGCCTTGGTAAATAAAATAACGTTGAAGGTTTTTCTCTACAACTTAAACAAAAAAGCTTAAAAGAGAGGCCTTAGCATTTAACCTAGGCGCGCTAATTAAAAAGTAACACAAACGGTGCGAAGTTTTGAAGGAATAGGAAATCGCTTTGTTCTCCCATCTTGGATCGAGAGAGAGGGGTCGCGGCCGGTGTACGAAATCGGACAATCAAAGACTCGCGCGCGGTCTGCGGCTATTTCTGTCTATCGTGTGACACGCTGACACTGAATGGCGATCGAGAGGATGCTTGTTGGCGGTGGTTCGGATCACAAATCGCCCCAAGGGAATCAAACCAACTCTGAAAACAATAATGGAAAAAGGGATTCAAAGTTGTGGCAGAACTCTTTTGTGCTCCGGCACCTCAAAGTCTATTTTGAGTGGCTTGATTGGGCCACTTTGTGTCGCTAATTAGGTAGAGATTTGGCCGATGGAGTTAATTGAGTGCTAATGGGGCGTGCAAAATTGAATTATTTTTCTTTGTACAGCTGAAAACAAAGAAATTTATTTAATTATAAGAAATTGCAGGAAGAATGCAACAGCTTAATTTACTATTATTTGTTAATTAGAAAAGCAAGCAATTTAATGAAATGATAAAAAAATTAAATAAATAAAAAAAAATCACCACGCGTTTATCTATGATGTACTTTTTCCATTATAAAGCATCAGCGTTAATGATTAATTGGAAATTAAAATACCAATAATATTATGAATACATCAAAAATCTCAAACAATATTTCCCTAATTTAAGTAAATTTGGATTTGATCAATTTTTTCATTTTAAATACAATAATTAAGACTCAAAAACGATCACAATGTTGCCAATTATGATGGTACGTTAATTTTATGTTTTCCAAGCATGCTTTTGAAAATAATAATTAATAAATATTATTCAAAAATTATTTCGTTTAGAGAACAGGCATATTTTAAACATAATTAAATTTTTTTCACTATCCTTCCGCTTACTTTTTAGAATTTCCACTATAAAGCTCAAAAGTTTATTTATTGAGCGCGTGAAAATGTATTCCTGTTAAAAATTTCTTTAATTGGCGCACCAGTTCAAAATTTACATAAGATTATACAAAAAGTGGTGTAAAAGATACATGAGCATCTTTTCTTTAAGTTATTTCATTGAAGTAATAAACTTTGTAAAAGATCTCGCCTATAAATTTTTGAGAAAATATTTAAATTTTAAATTTCATTTACCCTTACATTCTCTTTACACACTTTTATTTATTTTCACTAACAAGCTCATTATAAAATATGCAAATTTCGAGAGACTTCTATAGACCAAAATTCTGGTTTAGCCTTTGCTCATAGTGGAGACGTTGTTTTAATAAAAATTCATGATATTTATTTTTATTCGCTAATTTTATTCCTTTTTTCCGGCGCATTGCTGTCTCAATTGAATCAACTAAGTCTTTGTAGTCAAGTATTTTTTTTCTCTTTTATTCTTTGCGTTTTATTGTAACCATGCCAAAATACGAGAACGTCTCTTGCAGGGTAGCAAAAAAGCGTATACACGAGTCCGAAGCTCTGCTGCTGTTGAGTCGCTTCTCTGTTTCTCTGCTCTGCGCATTTTGATATTTTGTGTTGCTCCCTTTTGTTCTGCGTGTGTTGCAGCAGAGCCACGCTATAGAACCACAGCGCAGAGAAACTTAATCTCTCGCTGACATGATGGCAAATACCTGCGTGTGTGTGTTTTATTGCATATTACATTTTTTCAAATCCCTTTGTACTCATTCGACAATCATGTATGCGCGTGCGATGTTTGACAAATAAAAAATGTTGCCCGTTTTTCTCCCACCCTCTTTTGCAGAGTTCTTATCAGAAAATCGGCGGCCCACGCGAGAGTTTCGAATATATGCGCCGCGCATTAATTTTGTTTTCTTATCATTGGCGACACTCTTTGCTGTATGCAAAGTAAGACATTGATTTTAATTATATGAACGAGATGTACGTCACCGATTTTCACGGCCGTCTCTCACCACCGCATAGTCAGTTGCCTAATCAAAGAAAGTGCTGAAATTTTTTGTTCGTTACAAAAATCTATAAAAAAAATCATTAACATGAAAATATTTTCATTGTTCGAAACTTTTTTTAATAAGAGATTTATATTCCTTTCAT